ATGAGGTAGTCACCTGGAGTGCATTTCAATGAACAGGTGTGCCTTCTTAAAAGTTAGTTTGTGTAATTTCTTTCCTTCTTAATGCGTTTGAGCCAATCAGTTGTGTTGTGACAAGGTAGGAGGGGTATACAGAAGATAGCCCTATTTGGTAAAAGACCAAGTCCATATTATGGCAAGAACAGCTCAAATAAGCAAAGAGAAACGACAGTCCATCATTACTTTAAGACATGAACATCAGTCAATACGGAACATTTCAAGAACTTTGAAAGTTTCTTCAAGTGCAGTCGCAAAAAACATCAAACGCTATGATGAAACTGGCTCTCATGAGGACCGCCACAGGAATGGAAGACCCAGAGTTACCTATGCTGCAGAGGATAAGTTCATTAGAGTTACCAGCCTCAGAAATTGCAGCCCAAATAAATGCTTCACATAGTTCAAGTAACAGACACATCTCAACATCAACTGTTCAGAGGGGACTGTGTGAATCAGGCCTTCATGGTCGAATTGCTGCAAAGAAACTACTACTAAAGGACACCAATAAGAAGAGACTTGCTTGGGACAAGAAACACGAGCAATGTACATTAGACCGGTGGAAATGTGTCCTTTGGTCTGGAGTCCAAATTGGAGATTTTTGGTTCAAACTGCTGTGTCTTTGTGAGACGCGGTGTGGGTGAACGGATGATCTCTGCATGTGTAGTTCCCACCATAAAGCATGGATGAGGAAGTGTTATGGTGCTTTGCTGGTGACACTGTGATTTATTTAGAATTCAGGGCACACTTAACCAGCATGGCTACCACAGCATTCTGCAGCGATACGCCATCCCATCTGGTTTGGGTTTAGTGGGACTATCATTTGTTTTTCAACAGGACAATGACCCAACACACCTCCAGGCTGTGTAAGGGCTATTTTACCAAGAAGGAGAGGGATGGAGTGCTGCATCAGATCCCCCGACCTCAACCAAATTGAGATGGTCGGGATGAGTCGGACGGCAGAGTGAAGGAAAAGCAGCCAACAAGTGCTCAGCATATGTGGGAACGCCTTCAAGACTGTTGGAAAAGCATTCCAGGTGAAGCTGGTTGAGAGAATGCAACGAGTGTGCAAAGCTGTCATCAAGGCAAAGGGTGGCTATTTGAAGACTCTCCAATATAAAATATATTTTAATATGTTTAATACTTTTTTGCTTACTACATGATTCCATATGTGTTATTTCATAGTTTTGATGTCTTCACTATTATTCTACAATGTAGAAAATAGTAGAAAATTAAGAAAAACCCTTGAGTGAGTAGGTGTTTGAAAACGTTTGACCGGTAGTGTACATGTAACAAAATATATTTTAAAAAAACGAACATGTAAAACTTTTGTCCTCCGAAGAGATGGGCCAATAAAATAAACACAAATAGAGTGTGTAAGTGGGGTTAGGGTGGTGCTTCCCCTTACACTGTAAAGAGCTTTGGGTGTCTAGAAAAGTGGCCAAGTCCAATCAGTAATTATATAATTATAATTACATGTTTTGCCATATTCCATAGTTTGAAGACCATGCCTTTGTACAGAGACAGAAACGGATACAAAAAAGTTAAGTTAAATAAATTACTATAGTAAGTTCCCAGGTGCCAAATAAATTAACAGGGTTTAAGTTTTCACCTTAATTCAGCCAATTTCAAAACTTTAAATTACTGTGAAACTGTACGTTTTGCTTGTGGATTTTGAAAAAAAAAATCTAAGATCAAGATGTGTCAATTTGTTAGTCTACTTTTGAACTTTCGTTTTAGGACTAATGCCCCACTGAGCGTTCTACTCAATGCAGCGTCAATGGGTGCTGATGAAGATTTAGTCAAAAGTGCATTACTGTGACTTGGAAACACGATGCCATTTCAAAAGGAGGCAAATATTTAGGAGGGCAAGCTTTTGTCATCATTGTGATGTTTCCAGATTGACTTTAGACACACTGCTCGTTTAACCCGGAAGCCAGCCACACCAATGTCAGAGGAAACACTGTCCAGCAGGTGACCAAAGTCAGCTTGCAGGTGCCCGACCCACCACAAGGAGTCGTGAGAGTGCGATGGGACAAGGAAATCCCGGTAGGCCAAACCCTCCCCTAACCCGGACAATTGTGCGCCGCCTCATGGGTCTCCCGGGCATGGCCGGCTGTGACACAGCCTGGGATCGAACCCGGGTCTGTAGTGATGCCTCAAGCACTGCGATGCAGTGCCTTAGACCGCTGCGCCACTCGGGAGGCCATTGCTAGCTATTTCTGACTAACTTTGCAAGCTCATGCATGGCAACGTTGCAATCGCTCTAAAGAAATGTACATCATAATGACGGCAAACTTGTTTTCTACTAATTATCGGTCTACTTTAGCAACGCCATCATATTTCCAGGCCACTGTAGTGTAAATTTGACAAAACAGTCATTAGCCCCGTTCAGAAAGACTTGGCATTAACCATAGAGATCCTGTCAAATTACTAGAGGGGTTATGTCGTAAACTCTCAAAGTTCCATATAGGGCGAAAATGGCAGCCACCTTGGTCAGGGAGAAATCCAAAACCAGTCTAATTGGAATGAATGGCAGTTGAGGCATAGGTGATGTATTTTCTGCTTTTTAATTATGCAGGATAATAAAAATAAGGCATGTGATATCAGAAATTGTGTAATGGAATAGTCATAATATATTATAGTCTATATGGGTTTTATACCAATGTTTTGGTATAAATAGCCAAAAATATGTTGACAGACCATGTCTCAGATTTTGTTTTCTTGGAAAGCTGCAAGTGCTATTATATGATATCAGTACTTAGTGCATTTACAACTTGTCTAAATCCAATCAACTGATTTGAGCCAGTGTATAGCTGTAGATTGACTTCATTGTTTGAATGGAATGTTGGTATATTGGCAGTTAATTAGAACAATTAAATAATTCCTCTAAAATTGGCTGGCTAGCTAGCTAGCACACATACAGCACATATAAATTCTTCACATTCATTGTTTTACACAATATCTGATCACAGACCAACATGGCTGACCTTTTCTAGTATTCAAATTCCTAATTCTATGGCATTAACCATCAGTCAGACATCAATATGCTGCGGCATCTGTAGAAAGTTGGTAACTATGGCAACAATGAGACCTAGTGACAGGTGCAATCCATGAATACTGACATTCTGTAAAACTGGAGGGAACTCTTTATGCAAGACAGTCAAACAGGACATACAGTTGCAGCCAAATATATTGGCACCCTTGCACTTTTAAATAATTCCCAACTTTGTCTCAACCCCCAATTGGATTTTCAACATTGCAGAACACATTTCATTTTTTAATTTAGAAAAAAAAAGACAAATGGCATGGAAGAAATTGGCACACCAGAGCTAGTAGTGGGGCGGCGCACAATTGTCCCAGCGTCGTCCGAGTTTGGCCGTCATTGTAAATAAGAATTTGTTCTTAAGATTGCTAGTTAAATAAGAATAAATAAGTACTTGTTGCACAGCTTTGCACAGACATGTCTTTGGTCTGCCTAATAAATTCTAACTGAAGTTTACAAAGTGTTGTAGAAATCCACTAAGAGAGACCTCAAAAATTATATAGAAGAAATTAGAATTGAATTGCAAGGTGTTATGGGCGTAGAACAAACAGGCACTCTATATGGTGATGATTTGTAGGAAGGAATTAGCTAATTTAGCATAAGTATTGACACATGCCTTCAATTCATCCCCATTACCCAGGGTAGGGTACCCATTTACTCACACACACTTTAAAGATCATGTGTACATTTGTGAATTTACTCTCACCTTTTTTTTGCAAATAAACAAGGAACCAATAATGCTTCAACACCTTTATTGTGCAATCAGAACACCCTCCACACCTGTAGGCAACATTAGCAAACCAATGAGGTAGACTTTCAAACCCTAAAAAGCAGCACAATAAACGTTATTTAAAAAAGAAGAAGAGGGATGACAGATCTTTGGAACAGAGCCTCAGATGACAAAAGGGGTGGGAGTAGGGTACAGGGAGGTAAGGCATGTTTGGTCGCATCATACAAGCAAAGTTAGTTCTACATTCAACAGGAACCAAGCGGTTAAGAAAAACACTTCCGATGACAACATCTGTCCTGCTGAAGTACAGACGGAAAAAAGAAAACAGGTGATTAAAAAAAACAAGTCAACCCTTTTCTCAAGTGCAAATTAAAAGTACAACAGTAAGTTGATTAAAACTATGTACAGTCGAGGTCAAGGTTTGTTCCAGTGTTATTTCCATATTATCTGATCATTAGTTGAAAGCCTGGTGGTTTGACTGGTCAGCATCCGGCAATGATGGCTAAAAAGGCTGGAGCACTGACACAGTTAGGCAGAGAAAAGGCTTCAACCACTTCATATTAGTAAAAAACTAAATGTACAAACAGACAGCCCTAGGCAATTACTTTGAGGGGGCAAAAACTAAAAAGCAGTCAAGTAGATACTATATTAAGTTACCATGTTAGGACTTAAAACCATGAGTAAAAATTGGTAAAAAAACCTGTGTAAAAATGTCAAGGTATGCTACTGGACAACTGATTCCCAAACTCCTCACAAAAACAAAAACATCTACCTCTGAGGAATTTGGGTAGGTGCAGTGGGATGGTCGAAATCAATCAAAAAAAGGCACAGTCTGGCATCTGCAATGAAGGACCTGAAATATATAAAGTGTGGGATCTACACACCAACAAAATAAACTCAAAATCTAGGGAGAGGAACTCCTATGGATGCCTTTTAAATGTCCTGCCCTGAATTATAATAGTAGTTGTCTCAAGGACTCTCCAACCCGTCACTGTGCATAAGTGCTATTAGTGAAAACAAGTAAGCAGCAAAAAGCGAGCAGTGCAGTAGTGAATATTCCTAGTGGTTCTTCCCCTGGGCCCTGTTGAGGGGGACAACAGGCTCTGGGGCTCCTGTGGTTAGCCTATCCCTTATCCTGGCTCCGGCTCCTGTGGGGTCTCTGGAGGCCCCTGGAGGGTTCCCATGGCAGGCAGCTTAGCTGCAGTCCAGGTGCTTCTGGTTCCTCATGAGAGGCCTGTGGCTGCAGAGCACGTCCATAGAGTGCTGCCAGTGCCAGCAGGAGCGGCAGAAGTACTTGAAGCAGGCCTGGAGAGAAGACAAGTCACTCACTCGGTTAGTCACCATTTCAGACTGGAGCACTCACATTTTTCTCACTAATAAGACCTGAAATGAATCATCCCCAACCTTCTTAGCATTAAGTAATAACCCACTGGAGTTAACCCATCAATAAAATGAGTGCTGGACATTGTCCTCTACCCTCCATTGTATGGGGTGTTCTCACCGGGTCTCTGCAGAAGAAGGGCCCTGGTTGTCGGTTACACACTTGGCACGTGGAGTCCTCCAAGTAGGGGTCGATCTGAACCTGAGTAGACAAATCAATCAATGATCCAGCCCTGTAAATAGGTTGAGTACTGGGTAAGGCTAGAGAGCTTGGGTTGCCTCAATCCATCTCTCAACAGAGATGCCCAATGGAAGCGCTCCTTACCTTTTTGGTGAACTTTGGAGTCTTGATCTCCACAAAGGCAGCGCGCACAGCCTTCAGGTAGCTCCTCTGGTTGTTGAAGGTCACACGTCCCGACCCTGCCATTAAGGACACATGCTTAAACAGCCCCTTCGTCAAAGTCACAACTACCTCTGTCAGACTGTCGGCTATTAACAGATTCATTTTCCCCTTATACTATAAAGGCACTATTCCCTTTTTAACTATTGTGCTACTTGTTAGCCCTGAGCAAAAACAGCTGAAGTGGTCCAGTGGATAATGGAGCTTTGGAGGGTAAAGAGTAGTGTCGGGAGACAAGGCTATCCAATCCCAGCGTGCGTTGGTCCACACTACACCTACCTATGGGGTACTTGTGTTTGTCCGTGTCGATGCCGGAGTACATGACCCCTCCGAAGAGGTTGTTCATGATGAAGGCCAGGGCCTCTGCGTTGAGCATGCCATGCAGCGCGCCTACAAACACAGTCTTACTTGGGACCAGGCGCTGGGACGGGCAGCGTACAAAGTTACTGTCAGCCAGCACCCAAGGGATTACCTGCACCTAAGGACATACAGGGAAGGGCAAGAGTTGAAACTAATACAGAGGGTTTCAATTTTAATACTGCAGCCAATTATGAAGGCTCCATCCAAAGTCAGTCACACATGGAAATGAGTCTAACCCTTATGGGGCCAAAGACTGGATTAGTGAGAGCAATATGGCAGAAGATCCATCCCCATTGCCTTCACCCATCCAATTCCTACAGATCAGACAGCAGGTAGGCTAGGTGCTACAAGAACGTCCTATGGACAGAAGTGGAACCAGGCATTAACAGGGCACTACTCACGTCCTTGCAGCGCATCCTACGGCTGGACATCTTGTAGTAGTACTCCCTATAGTCCTCCAGGTGGAGCAGGTCCTGGGTGCAGGCCTGCAGCAGCCCGTGGACAGACCGCTCACTCTCGAACACCAGGTACACATAGCCTGCACAGAGACCAGTGTCAGTTAAAAACACACACACAGGGAGTATATTACTCCCTGACGATGGCTAAACATACCACAGCGTCAGAGATTTTCTACATTCTACTATATCCCTGTAGCTTTGTATCCCTGCAGCATATCCTTACCACATACAAGCAATTTAAAAAAAGGTACATAACATTTGCACAATTCCCTTAAATACAATTCAGGTTGACCATGGATTTGAGGTTATTTTATTCAACCGAAGAATACACAAAAATAGAAGGCACCACTTACTGTGAGTGACTGCGTAACACCAGAAGTGAATACAAGCCAATGTACGTGTCCACCTCTGTGCTCTGGGAGAACAATGAGTAAAATACAATTCCTACCACGTCAGCATTACCTTTGGGCGTATTACCTTTGGGTGGGCAGCGCGGATGCCTCCCATCCTTACCCGGCCACTCCACACTCAGAGGTCCGTACACGCTGAACGTGCTGACCAGGCTGGCTGTGGAGGGAGGGGAGAGAAGAGGTTAGTCACAGGAGTGGAACTACTTATTACATTTTAGTAATTTAGCAGACGCTCCTATCCAGAGCAACTTACTAAACCTGGGTCATGTTCAGTAGGGCACAACGTTTTGAAACTGAAACAAAATTAGCATTCTTATTGGGTTGTTTGACTCTTCTCACCTTCAGTCACATCCCATGGCACACCGCCCAGGAACACTTTACATGAGTACACTGGGTTCTTGTAGTTCCTGGGAGGCAGCTGGCCGCTCCATGTGAAGGTGGCATCGTTCACAGCTGGAAGAAAAAGTAAGGAAGAAAGATGATAGCACAGTCCAACTGTAGCATGTAGAGGCGAAAAGACAGTCAAATGCAACTATATGACTAGACTCCTGAAACAGTCAATCTTTTACATTAAATTGGTCAATCAAGTGTGAGGGAGAGAGGGGAACCAGCAAGAATATGGCCCTGGAGAACTGGGGTGTATTCATTACTTCTTGCAACGAAAACATTACTGTTTAAGAACCAAAACGGAAGCAAACAGAACGAAACAAGGAGGGGCCTACATGAATTTGTCCAATAGAAACTTTTTCCATTTGGAGCAAACTGTTGCAAAACGTTTTGCTATAGACAAATTATTTTGCAATGGAATCCAACTAATGAATACACCCCTGATGTTGACCATTTCCTGTGGTAGCTACAGTACCTGCAGCCTGTCTGTGCAGGCGAGCCTCCCTCTCGATGTTGAAGGGCTTCTGGGGCCCCTCCAGCAAGTCCCAGCTGGGCCACACTGAGGCCTGGGGCCAGCGCTTGGCCAGGGGCACCCCACAGCGGCCCTGGCCCGGGAGGGTGGGGGGCTCAGGGCTGAGAGCGGAGGAGTCGTCGTGGAGGTCCAGGCGAGAGCAGCCGACGGCTGTGCCCAGTCTGTGGGGGTCCCGCTGTTGTACCCCCGGCATCATGAAGGGCAGGGGCGGGGAGATACGCAGAGAAGACTATAGAGAGAGGGAACACACACACACACTTAACTACAGCCAGAACTGTGCACAGAACTCTTAGTGCCAGTTCCAAATCAATACCTACCAGTGTTGTGTTTGAGACCACCTAAAGCAAGACCGATTCAAGACCAAGACCGGAGCAAATCAAGTCCAAGTCAAATCCATGACCGGAGGGGAGGGGCCAGACCGATTCAAGACCGAGAGGGGGACAAGGGGTCCGAGACAGAGTCAAGACCAGAAAAATGTGAGTCCAATTCAAGACCATGATTGTCATTGTGCCATCACCACCATAAGAGTTCAAAATATCCAGTATTTCTGTGTTCATATTTCAGAACAACATATGGATACTTTAGACGTTCAGAATAGTGAAAAAAAAATTCATGCTGAGGGAAAATAGAGCCACTCTACAAATTACTAACCCAAAGACAGTGGGGAACAATGGGCCTTCTAAACCTTCAGAGAAGGGCTATGGATTTATAAAATAATTATATTATTTTAAATATTCTGATTTATTCTCTTCAGTTTTTGTTGGTAAGGGTTAACACTGAAGAGAAAAAATATACAATCAGGATTTTTCTTTGCTGGTCTCTGGGGAGATAAATCTAGCTAAGTCAGCCATTGGCTAGGCCATCAGCAGATAGATAAAAGGCATCTGCCATTCAACTATATTAGGGCAACATTTTGGAGTGACAGTGGAATCAACCAATCACATTTTGACTTAATGGGTGGGACCGTTTTTACAAAAACTTATGGAAACATCTGCCTTCTTGAAGGCCAACAGGACACTGCGCAACAGCGAGCAGTAGTTTTCCCGCTAGCTAGCTTTTGTTGTCGGCTAGTTTGCAGCGGCTACAGCAGGTGTTATCAAAAGAGGATGTTGTTGCTCATTTGTTAGCTTCTTCCTTTTCAAGATCAACTTTCAACAAGTTCAGTTTTAAATGATCATCATCAGTGAGTTGAACTGTGTTTATTGCAGCGCACTTGCTGTTAGCCATCTCTTTGAAAATAACGTGTGAGAAACATTGTTGCATTTAAAGTGGAACTGACAGCATTTTAGCAACATGAAATCTTATTAAAATCTGTTCATATACACCCCCAGGAAGAATGACACTTTTTTTAAACATTTTCTGACAAGCGACCACTTAGATATGGCCATTTTCACGTTTTCATAAATTCTTAGAATGTTTGGGAATTATGTATACTAAAGGCATTTGGAAAATTCTATAGCAATATAGTGGGAAAGTGGCCGTGCGTTTGGACAATTAATAGACACGGCTGTAAATAAAACATCTGTCTTGTCCAGGACCAGAGTCTACACAGACCGGTGCGCTATAGCTACAGTAAGCCTTTATACAAACAAGCCATTTGCCAAACGGGCTGCCATCATTAACTTTGAACTGGACTGTGTGTTTACAGGCAGTTGCAACAGCGCGACTTTAGATCATTAGAACGCATTCACCAAAAGCCACAAAATACACCTGAAAGGATTTCTGCAAATATGTAAACACCACAGGAGTCCGCTTACATTTGGGAACTTTACAGTCCTATTGATCAAACCACTATGAAAAGTTAGGCTCTCTCTCACGCAGTTATGCACATCAATAACATCAACTAATGCTAGCCAGAGCAAGAGGAGCTAAAATCTAACGAAGGAACGTTAGATAAACCCTCAAACTTTTTCAGCTAGTATGCCGTCAACATTGCACTAATAAACGATGGGGAATTGTAGCCTCCTCGTCCTTCTGCAACTTGCCTGCCAATGCATGTCCCAACCAAGCACCCAAGCTAACTGGCTAAAAAGTTGGCTAGCTAGCTACTTCCAGACAAATTAGAGAAGACCTCACTGACCATTTTACACACCTTAGCAGAGCTGGTTACATGTTATCTAGAGCGTTCTTGACTAACTATTACTGACACCGGTCATATACAGCGGGTGTTGCACGTTTGTAAATTCATCAGTTCTGTGCTCTGGCACACTCAGACGAGAGTTCAAGTTCTTGCTAGCTAACCAAATGACACATGCATCTCTAGCTGTGTATAGCCACTGAAAAACAATATGAAGGGAAAAGTCAGTTACTCACACACTCCTCCAATGGCATGACATCCTCCTAGCAGCTAGCTAGCCATCTAGCCAACGTTAGGCTCTGTGTTTTCAGCTTGCTACATAAATAGATACGCTAGCCTATTAGCCACGTTATGACTGACTTGTGATATTGCCCTTGCTAGTTCGATTGTATTGACATTCCCAGCCTTAGTTAGTTGTCCGATTTTGTCCAGAAGAGATATTGAAACAGTGCATCCTGAATGGAGGCAGCAAACAATGTACCAGGCCAGCTGTGATTTACAACCTGATAGCAATATTTTTTGGACTACTAGGAAATGTATTAGTGAATTACAGTGGGGGAAAAAAGTATTTAGTCAGCCACCAATTGTGCAAGTTCTCCCACTTAAAAAGATGAGGCCTGTAATTTTCATCATAGGTACACGTCAACTATGAAAGACAAATTGAGAATTTTTTTCTCCAGAAAATCACATTGTAGGATTTAATGAATTTATTTGCAAATTATGGTGGAAAATAAGAATTTGGTCACCTACAAATAAGCAAGATTTCTGGCTCTCACAGACATGTAACTTCTTCTTTAAGAGGCTCCTCTGTCCTCCACTCATTACCTGTATTAATGGCACCTGTTTGAACTTGTTATCAGTATAAAAGACACCTGTCCACAACCTCAAACAGTCACACTCCAAACTCCACTATGGCCAAGACCAAAGAGCTGTCAAAGGACACCAGAAACAAAATTGTAGACCTGCACCAGGCTGGGAAGACTGAATCTACAATAGGTAAGCAGCTTGGTTTGAAGAAATCAACTGTGGGAGCAATTATTAGGAAATGGAAGACATACAAGACCACTGATAATCTCCCTCGATCTGGGGCTCCACGCAAGATCTCACCCCGTGGGGTCAAAATGATCACAAGAACGGTGAGCAAAAATCTCAGAACCACACGGGGGGGACCTAGTGAATGACCTGCAGAGAGCTGGGACCAAAGTAACAAAGCCTACCATCAGTAACACACTACGCCGCCAGGGACTCAAATCCTGCAGTGCCAGACGTGTCCCCCTGCTTAAGCCAGTACATGTCCAGGCCCGTCTGAAGTTTGCTAGAGTGCATTTGGATGATCCAGAAGAGGATTGGGAGAATGTCATATGGTCAGATGAAACCAAAATAGAACTTTTTGGTAAAAACTCAACTCGTCGTGTTTGGAGGACAAAGAATGCTGAGTTGCATCCAAAGAACACCATACCTACTGTGAAGCATGGGGGTGGAAACATCATGCTTTGGGGCAGTTTTTCTGCAAAGGGACCAGGACGACTGATCCGTGTAAAGGAAAGAATGAATGGGGCCATGTATCGTGAGATTGAGTGAAAACCTCCTTCCATCAGCAAGGGCATTGAAGATGAAACGTGGCTGGGTCTTTCAGCATGACAATGATCCCAAACACACCGCCCGGGCAACGAAGGAGTGGCTTCGTAAGAAGCATTTCAAGGTCCTGGAGTGGCCTAGCCAGTCTCCAGATCTCAACCCCATAGAAAATCTTTGGAGGGAGTTGAAAGTCTGTGTTGCCCAGCGACAGCCCCAAAACACCCCTGCTCTAGAGGAGATCTGCATGGAGGAATGGGCCAAAATACCAGCAAGTGTGTGAAAACCTTGTGAAGACTTACAGAAAACATTTGACCTGTGTCATTGCCAACAAAGGGTATATAACAAAGTATTGAGAAACTTTTGTTATTGACCAAATACTTATTTTCCACCATAATTTGCAAAGAAATTCATTAATCCTACAATGTGATTTTCAGGATTTTTTTCCCTCATTTTGTCTGTCATAGTTGATGTGTACCTATGATGAAAATTACAGGCCTCTCATCTTTTTAAGTGGGAGAACTTGCACAATTGGTGGCTGACTAAATACTTTTTTTCCCCCACTGTATATAAATCATGCATTGAACTGCATCCATCTATTCTGCCAACAATGCCTTAGTGCACGTAATGGAACGTTAAGTCAAATAGAACCTATTTTTAAAACCCCTTATAAAGTTAGTTTTGTAGCATAGATTAGGAATTTGATATTTTTAACTGATATTAGGATTGTCTGTTTGTTTCATATCTGCAAAGTAGTTAAAACGCTGTCAGTTCCACTTTAAGTGACCGGTTACTTTGTGTGCTAAACTTGAAAGTTTTTTTTTTTTTTTTTTCTCTCTCAATGGGAAGTAATAGTTGTACATTTCGATTGGGAAATCCTTAAATGGTTGTGTTAATGTATTCTTATGATTGGGAACTTTTGGCTTATTATGTCCGAGTTCATGGACGGCTTATCCTTTAACATCATGCTGTGCGTGACTGCTGTCTTTCCATCTGCCCTATGCAGTGATGCCTGGAGAAGTGGGTATATTCTAATTTTGCCAAAAAAAGTTCCCAAACAGCCCACTCAGCAAAGGAAAGGCACCCTGAAAAATCCTGTTTTTTTTATGACTTTTCTGATTTTCACTCTGAAAAATCACACTTGGTCTAAGTTCACAAATGCTTAATTAAACCACAATCAAAATGTTTTTCCTCAAACTACACACAATACCCCATAATGCATTTTTGCAAATTTATAAAAAATATTAACAGAAACACCTTATTTACATAAGTATTCAGACCCTTTGCTATGAGACTCGATATTGAGCTCTGGTGCATCCTGTTTCCATTGATCATCCTTGAGATGTTTCTACAACTTGATTGGAGTCCACCTGTGGTAAATTCAATTGATTGGACATGAAAAGGCACACCTGTCTACATAAGGTCCCACAGTTGACAGTGCATTTCAGAGCAAAACCAAGCCATGAGGTCAAAGGAATTGTCCGTAGAGCTCCAAGACAGGATTGTGTCGAGGCACAGATCTGGGGAAGGGTACCAAAACATTTCTGCAGCATTGAAGGTCCCAAAGAACACAGTGGCCGCCATCATTCTTAAAATGGAAGCAGTTTGGAACCCCCAAGACTCTTCCTAGAGCTGGCTGCCCGGCCAAACTGAGCAATCGGGGGAGAAGGGCTTTGGTCAGGGAGGTGACCAAGAACCCGATGGTCACGGTCAGAGCTCCTCTGTGGAGATGGGATAACCTTCCAGAAGGACAACCATCTCTGCAGCACTCCACCAATCAGGCCTTTATGGCCGAGTGGCCAGACGGAAGCCACTCCTCAGTAAAAAGCACATGACATCCCGCTTGGAGTTTGCCAAAAGGCACCTAAAGGACTCTCAGACAATGAGAAACAAGATTCTCTGGTCTGATGAAAACAAGATTGAACTCTTTGGCCTGAATGCCAAGCGTCACGTCTGGAGGAAACCTAGCACCATCCCTACGGTGAAGCATGGTGGTGGCAGCATTATGCTGTGGGGATGTTTTTCAGCGTCAAGGACTGGGAGACTAGTCAGGATTGAGACAAATATGAACGGTGCAAAGTACAGAGATCATTGATGAAAACCTGATCCAGAGCGCTCAGGACCTCAGACTGGGGCGTAAGTTCACCTTCCAACAGGACAACGACCCTAAGCACACAGCCAAGACAACGTAGGAGTGGCTTCGGGACAAGTTTCTGAATGTCCACTACACGAGTGGGCTGTTAATACGGTTGCTGTCCTTTCAGAATCACAAACCTAATCACACACTGAAGGCCTATAGGTTCGCCACTGCGCAAACATGACTAATAGATAAGGCTGTTAAGATATTAATGTTTCAAGAAAGGAGTGTATATATTTGGCCTGGCGAAGCGATTTTATGCGCTGACAGAATGGAAGCTATGAGTTTTTTTTTTATTCCGCTTGACAGAGTACAAAAATGTATCCGACACAAGACCGAGACACTCAATGTGTGGTCTCGAGACCAGTCTCGAGTACTACAACACGGATACCTACCCAACCTTTACTCTAACATAAATTTTTCACAATTATTTTGTTGTTGATGGATCCAGACAGTTTAAGTGTATACCAGGAATATTTCCAGCATCCTCAGGCTAGCCATAACTGATTTTAGTGGAATCAAATAGGGCAAAAATCTATTTTGCACCAAAAAGCACAAAATGGCCTACACTATCTTGAGTATAGCGGAGGAGTGATCAGATTAAACGGGGCCCCTTAAAACGTACTGTTTAGTTTGAATAGTAGACATCAGCAGTTCTCGTCATTCACTAACAGACCTTAGCTCAATTATTAGCCTTTAAACTGCAACATTTTATCTCCACCCCATGCCAAAATGTGTTGAATTGCAGGAAATTAGCTTTAAAAACTGCAAAATTTGGTTGGTGGGGTGTCACAAAAGGTCCTTGGGGGGTGGGGCAACCAAAACTCGCTTAGGACCCCCAAAAGGCTAGGGCCGGCCCTTAATCTGGTCCTGTGAAACTGCCCCAATAAAGATTTATAGTCTAGGGTCTTCAATCAAAACTCACCAGCAGCTCAGAGAGGTGGTCCGATCCGGAGCTAAACCCGCTGGTTTCAGAGTCGGCCGGGCTGCTGCAGCGCGAGTCCAGTAAGGAGTGCCCCTCCATGCGGGGATTCCCACCACGACTCAGCCCAGGAAACTTCGCCAGCAGATCTGTGGTGCCCAGAGGTTCCAAAGGCTGGCCCAGTGGGCTACCCAGCATGCCTAGCACTATAAATACAGAGAATACTCAAGTGCTCATCATACTGCAACTCGAGAGGGACATCACTCAAGGAAACCTCAACAAATTCACAGACCCAGTGAAGACAGCATTTTGTTTCCTCTAGGTCACTTAATTCTGGTCCTCGTGCAAAGGGGTGCACATTTTTGTTTTAGTCTACAGCGGATTCAAATAATTAACTAATCAAGCTCTGAATCAGGTGTGTAGTGCTAAGACAAAAACGTGCACCCCTTTGGGTGCCCGTGACCAAGATTAAGAAACACTGCTCTAGCTGGCAACTTTTAAATGATTTCAAATTATTAACCTTGGAACACATTAAAGTGCAGCACACAATGATAATGTATGGTTTTAATGGTAAAAAAATGATAGAACAGAGGAGTATTCAGAGGAACAGCCTTGGGCCCGGTTTCCCAAAAGCATCTTAACGCTAAGTTCATCGATAGAACTTTCGTAAGAGCATCGTTAAAATCTGAGCGGTTTCTCAAAAACATTGTTATTAACGTTGCACTTGAAAAACGCTCGTAATCTAACACCTGCCTCAGACCATTCGTAGAAGACCTAAGTATGTCATTAGATTATTTTTTTGCCCTCCCATGTCACTTTATACACAGAAGATCTCCACTAAACATAGAATCACATGGTTTATCCATCTCTGTGACCGCAATAACTTCAGAACAAAGTAGATAAATACAAAGTTGCCAATGTCTTTGCAATTGATACAAACAAGCGACGTATAAAACAATGCTTCAAATGAAAACCGAGACTGCATTAAAATATAAACAGTATGCTCTAGGCCTATTTCAAATAATATTTAAATACATTTTATGCAATTGAGTTCCAGTTTGTAGGATACTGTCTGTAATTGGTCTCAATACATTTCATGTGTAGCCTAACATGTGCGCAATGATGTGACAAATCTGTAGTGCATTTACATTGTGTCAGCATTAGAATAAGCCACCTCAATATTTCCAGACATTGGTGGTAATATAAGAGTTGAACAGTCATCAGTATTGTGAAATAATTATAATGTTAAGGTAAGATTTGATTGGAGAAAGTAGCGCTCCCCTTCTTTTGATCCTACCAGTATCGACACATGCGCCAACGACACACTTAGCGACCTTTCTCTCTGCGTGGTGTTTTGGGAAATTCATGTTACATCTTCGGCCGTTGTAGAAAATATGCATTGTTAAAACACTAAGCCTAAATTCCGTCGCTATTGGGAAACCGGACCCTGGGCATTCAAATGTAATTACATTCTGTGGCCTCACTGCCCTGGACGAGGGTGCTACTGCTAGGCCAAACAAAACTGAGTCAGCGGCAAGTGTGTCACGCCAGAGACAAAACTGATTAGTCATTGTACAGGATTAGAGACGTGACGAGGCAGAACCAGGGCTGGCCCCTTCTGGAAGAGTGCTTAACCTAGTGCACAGAAATAGGTATCATCCTTGAAGCAGGAGCTCATTGCTGCCACTTGCATCAGAGGCCATCCTGATCCAGAGAGCACATTATAGCTCAAAAATCATACCAGCACACCCCAAAAGGGGATTGTATTAGGACATTTGAAATACTTAAATCAGAGCAAGGTTTATCACAGCAAAGGGTCCCATTAGGGCTGTGGTGGTCACAAGATTTTGTCAGCCGGTGATTGTCAAGCAAATAACTGTAGGTCTCACTGTAATTGACTGTTAATTAACATAAACACATTTAGCATCTCCTGGCTTCCACACATAGCCTACAAGCCACTGATGCAGACCTTTGGAACATCTACATTTAAAAAAGTCTAATAAATCCATGTAATATAGCCTACACCATCATAATAAATCCATTATTCATTATAGACAGGTCTATAGAAACATGATATGAAGAAAATGTAGTCTATTTCAGAAGACCAGAATAGCATACTCTGAGTTGTCCTTATGTTAGGTCCTGATCTGGCTATGCCATATGGCTGTGGGCAACACTAGTTCATTTAACAGACAAGAATTGCTTACAATTCCATGGCATTATTTCATAGTATGAAGAATACAATTGAACAAAGCTGAATAAAATAGAAAGCATATTTTCTTTAAACGATTTGAGGGAGTGCCACACATGCGACTATTCTGTGTAGAGCGGTTAATAAAGAAATAGGTGCTCTTATATGCTTAATTTTGAGTTAATGTAACTTTAGTTGTTCTACAAATGTTAGGCTATATGTTTTGATTTTTAATACATTGTAAGGCTGCATGATGCGACTAATGATGATTTGAAAAAAGTTGCTTGAAAGGCATGAGTTCTGCTTTGTTTTTTGCGCAGGCTGTTCACACTTCGTCAGTCTCTCATTCACAATTTGAGAAGCACTTGATGCCTCGAATTTCCCGGCATCCCCTTTGTGTAGCCATAATGTACCCTAAAAAAATCCATGCCTTTTGCAGCCAGTGGCCGTTGCGTCTTTGGCCCGGAGTGCTGCATTATGCCCTTCTCCCTGAGTGCTGCCTGCTCCGAAGCACCTCTCGCTCACACGGCTCTCCATCACGTGATCGGGTCTTTCTCACAGGCTACAAGTGAAGACAGACACGTTGGGGACGCAACTGCGTGAGTCCTTGTCCAATTCAGCGGTGCATATTGAAGATATTGGAAGAACTGTCCACATTTACTTTTCATCTGCCAACAAGATGAGTAGGCCTAACGAACTGCAAAAGCACTAGCCTATGTCAATCTACTATCCCCCATAGTACAAAAGGTGACCTATTCTATTCTGTGCGAGAAAAATATTCCAAACATAGTCTGGGACAGTTGTGGGATGCGATAGATCCCAAATTAATACAACCACTAGCATCAAAAAACTTGTTTTACTCAATGAGGCTGACGCAACAGATCAGATCATTTAGCTTAAAATGTTGATAAACTATTCGACTATTTCATCACATTATATGTGCAGAAATGCGCACACGGCAGTAGGCTATAACCACGAATGTTCCATTAGCAGGAAAACACCATTATGACCACAAATGCGATTATGCATTTGAAAAAAAGTATGAAAAAAATTGATGTATGCACTCACTAGCTATGAGTCGCTCTGGATAGGAGCGTCTGCTAAATGACTAAAATGAAAAAAAATATGCATGTAATGGTTATTATAAAAGGTGAATTTTTATCGTTAAAATTATCTTCCCCAAACTTGAAACTCACGTGTTGCGTATGCCAGTTAGGCTCTACACCCGTTGTAAAGCGGATTAATGTGCTTCATTTTAAGAAGTTATTTGGCCACTTTAGTTGTGATACAAACCTCATCAAAACATATAGGCCTATGCTACATGAAGTGTGCAACTATGATTAGAAAAAGTCACACAAAAAAAGGCATTGTTTCTTGCCTTAAGCTGGGCATCATTCACAAGTGATAGGCTAACATTGTCAGACTACTCTTGATTTAATCTTTCCATATACTAAATAATATATGTGTGAAATTCGTTTTGATTTAGAATGGACCATTATCATGCACCTGTCTCGAAAAACAGGGGCAGGGGGAAAAAATACATGTTATCCTTAAATAGCGAATGGAGGACGATTTTCCTGTGGTTCATTTTCATGCCAGCCAGGTAGGCTATATTCCTGTTGTAAAGATAAGCAATGTGCTTAATATTAGGAAAGTTGAGAAATAAATATAGTAGGCCTAGCCTATAGAAAGCTGATGGGATCCTCTTTTTAATAGAGGCCATCACTGTTTTCTAGTGCAAATGCATAGCCTATAGAAATGTTCTGCAACATGAACACTCAGTGTTTGATTAGATTTTCGATAACATTTGCATTGATGTCAGAGTGATTAGAAGGACAATAGAGTGCTGAGTACCAGGCAGTTAGCAAGTTTGGTAGGCTACTAATGACCATCAGCAGCATCAGAGCTTGGAGAAGCCTAATTACCGTGACTAAACGGTCACGTGGAATTTGACTGCCTTCATGGCTCGTGACCGCTGGTATGGCGGTAATACGGTCACCGCAACAGCCCTAGGTCCTATTCCTTCCCAGTGATCCCAAAACCAGTTTCTAACTTAAGGCAAAATCCAGCATTCTTCCATTTATCCAAAACAGACTACTCCCACCTCACCTACATTTCATAAAGTGTTTTTCATTTCAAGAAGAAACCCATTTTTCCCCCCCTATTGAAGGTTCTGTAGGTATGTGTGTAATATGGCACTGGTACTCACTGGAGGGCGAGCTGGTGTGTGACGGAGGTGCCATGGCAGCGGAGGGCTGCTCCCAGCAGGCTAGGCTGAGCGACTTCAGCCCCAGGCCCAGCTGAGTGAGGTCAGACAGGCCACCACCACGGAGGGGAGAGTCCTGGGCTCTGGAGGGGGGGCATGGAACTCTGCTGCCTATCGGGCTACCCATCGCAGCAAAATCCCCGTCTAGTAAGTCTGGAGACAAAGAGAGAGAGAGAGAGAGAGAGAGAGAGAGAGAGAGAGAGGAGAGAGAGAGAGAGGAGAGATCGATAGAGAGAGAGAGAGCGATCTTCTATCTCTCTACCTGAGACTCTCTGCTACTCTCTCTCGCCTCTACTCAGCTGTACGCTCTAGCTCCTCTCTATCTCTTCTCTCTCGTCTCTCTCTCTCGCTCTCTCTCTCTCTGCTCCTCTCTCTCTCTCTCTCTCTCTCGCCTTTCCTCTCTCTCTCTCTCTCTCTCTCTCTCTCTCTCTCTCTCTCTCCTCTCTCTCTCTCTCTCTCTCCCCTCTCTCTTCTCTCTCTCTCTCTCTCGTCCTCTCTCTTCTCTCTCTCCTCTCTCTCTCTCTCTCTCTCTCTCTCTCTCTCTCTCTCTCTCTCTCTCTCTCTCTCTCCTCTCTCTCTCTCTCTCTCTCTCCTCTCTCTCTCTCTCTCTCTCTCTCCTCTCTCTCTCTCTCTCTCTCTCTCTCTCTCTCTCTCTCGTCTCTCCTCTCTCTCTCTCTCTCCCCTCTCTCTCTCTCTCGCTCTCTCTCTCGCTCTCCTCTCTCTCGCCTCTCTCCTTCTCTCTCTCGCTCTCTCTCCCCTCTCGCTCTCTCTCTCTTGTGTCGCCCTCTCTCTCGCTCGATGTGCCCCGCTTTCAATCCCCCCCCTTCCCTGCGCTCCCTCCCACCTCGTTCTTTGAAGTCACAACCGCCCGATAGGATTGATTTATAGTGAGAAAACATTTACAGCAGGTAACACCAAGAGGAATGCACAACTTCTGGAAAAATCAATTCTACAGTCTGGTACTTAACTACCTACCACCTCATCCACCACACCCCTCCCATCACCTCAGCCTTACCAACCTACTGTACCCGCCCCAGTGCCCAGAGGCTGCCATGCCTCCCTGTCGGCATCACCGCCCTGCTAAGCATGTGACCTGGACTCGGCTGCCCTCACGCTCCTGACGCTGCCAACCGGTGGTGTGTGGGTTCATCGGGTGTGTGTGAGATGGGTTGAATAAAGCTCTCTCACTCAGCGCGTGGATCCAACCAGGCGGCAACCGTGGCTGGGTGGCTCAGGAAGCAATGTGCTCTACTCGGTATCGCTCAGTAGACTGTGTGTGTATGGCCGGCAGCGCTCTCCTGTATCTCTCGCGAGTGCCCAACCGCCGCTGCGCACTGATCAGACAGGCTGAGAGCAGAGCTGCCTGCTTCCTCTTGCCTGCCTGAGCATGTGTTCCAAAACACTGACTGGATTCACACAACAGCGATCTGAGGAGAACAGCAGTCTGAGAAGTTGGAACCCCTCCAGATTCAGCCCCTCCCCATACGCCTCAGTCTGGTCTGACTCAGCAAAGCAGAGTGGACCGGGAGGGAGAGAGGCAGACAGATTCAGCTCGCCTGATACCAACACTACCATTCATTCAACACTACAAAAAAGCCTAGAGGCTTATTCAGAAGAGTATAACTACACAATGTTTAGATAAAGATATGTATTTTGAGATGCATAAATCACAGCCTTGTATAACAGGGCATTATGTCAGTTCATTACATTACAATTCTATCCGCAATGTTACAAATCTTGCTGAATTAAGCCCTTTACCATTTGGCAAAACGAACAAGGTGTCCCTGTAAGGAGATGGAAGTCAAGTTCTGCCTCGGTATTGGCAGGAGCCAGTATCTGGATCAGTTACAAGAGCAGCATTAATCAGCTTCAATGCTGTCCCAATCTCATTGGCAAAAAGGGAATCAGCTGACTGCCATTGTGGTGCCAAACTGCTATAGAATGAGCTCTGCAGGAGTTTCATGAGAAACAATGCTGAGAGCTCAGCATATTTATGAGAATAAAACTGAAGAGTGATGCCTCATAGCTGTTAAATTCTAGACTAGGCCCTAGGCCCAATTTGACAATGTATTTCTTAAATGGCTTTGGAATTACCTGACAGGTGATGGACACTATTCCCCTTGTGGTTTGTGGGTGTAGTGCACACCCCAGTGAGGTCCAGAGAGTTGCCCAACATTGTGTTCATTCTGCGAAAGACATCACCATTGCTGCATGTAGACAGGGCTTGAGAGCCTGTATGCCAGTGGTCATGGAGCCTCAGGTCTTCTTTCTGTTTGCAGTATGAATGTACAACATACCAACAGACAATACTGCACATACATAAATGTTGGCTTATTCCCCAATAAAGTAGGTTTATTCCCCCTGTAGGCTAGATAGGAAAACGTTAAAATAATAGGCCTAGTCTTTACAACTTGGCCTCGTTGGCTATTATTTCTCCGGTTGTCACTGCGTTTGAGGTAAACTTATTATCAGTCAAATGATGGCTAAAACTCGAGTACATTTGCAATAGACATAAAATGCAACCATAAATACATTTACATCGTTCAACAGTTAGAGCTGGACTGGTGATTATTTATGAATGGAAAATGTTAAAATTGAAAGAACATATTGAAAAATGTCTATAGCTAGCAGTTGCACGGTGGACAAAAGCTAAAGATGCTAAACGTTCATTTTACAAAGGATATTGGCGTTGAACGACTGCTAAGTTTATTTTATAGACAGCGCTCGACTATTCACAAAAAAAGGCTACTTACCAGAGAAAATGCCATATTATTGCACAGGAACCCGCGGGTATGAGTCAAATATGTGTGTCTGCCTCGAAACACTACTTGAAGACTACTTTCAAGACTCACAAATCAGGTGTCATGATTAGGAAAATGTGCGTCAATTTATCTGTTAACGGCATGCGGGGTAATTCATTTGAAATGGCTGAAGCCGCACCACTGAAGTTGAGATGCACAGACCTACAAATACATTTTTAACTCATTAAAATGGGGTACATCATGTCGTAGTTTCAGTAGTATAACTTCAGTGTTTCATTGCCCCCTGTTAACCTCAGCCATTTTATTTTGAGGCACAATTGAGCTTTTTAAAGTTCAGCACGTGGAGCGAAATCACGCTGTCTGCTCATGGGCCCCAGGGTCGTTCGATTCTAGACATGACGTCATTTCATGTCTAAATTGGATACATTGTACGTTACAAACAGGAAGTAGCTGAATTTGAAGACAAGTCTATAACAAATATCCACATCAAAGACTGTCAAGTTAGGTTTCCATCTCCTCGGTCCACATACAAAAAAGGCAATAGACATTGACACATTTCATCCCTTTTATTATATTATTTTCATTTGTATAATAAATAAAGCTTAAACACCACATTATTTCATAACCACACAGAGGATATGGTAGACCATAATCATGGTATCAGAAAGAGAAAGCGAGTGTGCATTAAAATAACAACAATAATGTTACCCTTTAAAAGATTGCTCCATCCACTCTTATCTTAAATTCATTGCAAAGTTTACATTTTGAGAGAAAGGTTGAACCTTTTAAAAGTTATATATAGCATTGTCTTTTAGGGGAGGAAATAATAGACCACTGCCACGTTTAACAGTACTTTTAAAAAGGTACTTTTCATAAGGTATGTGGTCAATGGTATGAGTTAAGCAAATTATGTCCTCAAATTGTCTGCATACCAGTAGTACAATTATTTTGAAATGACATGAAAGTTCAAATTAAATTCTCCTTTGTTCTTTGACTGTGCCATGACTCCATAGACCAATGAATTAAGTTCACAAGCTTAAAAGATTTACTGGTGCGATACCGAACAAAGAAAAATCAAATCAAATTTCAAGGAGTAAAACAAACTGCTGTCATTTTCCCTTTTCTTCCACTTTCTATGATAACTGTTATTGATGCTTGCTGTATTGAACTCCTTTGGTGAGACCATACAATTACATGTTCCTATGGCAAAAAAAATGTTAAACAAATAAATAAACAACTTCACTTATGTCACGTGGGCAGCTCGCAGATATGCAGGTGGGTTATATCATAGCACGTGTCTCCACTATACAGAGCAAGGCCCTTTACCTGGTGTGACCCATTGGTGCCCAAGACAGCATAGAGCAGTTTCCTTAGGATCCCATTTCCATTTCCGTAGGACTCATTATGACAACATCTGCGGGTTTATAGCTTGATAGAAACCACCTTACAGTATGGTTTACCTATACTGGAGATACAGTAAGTATATGCAAAAGTCAATGGAAAGGCAGGAAAACAAGGACAGCTGCTGATAACAGAACAGTTTGCCTTGGGCCATGATGATGTAACATTGTCATGTTTGGAAATCATTCAGTCTCCCAGAACAATATTAAGTCACACCTTGGAGTCTCATACACACAGACACAGACACACACTAACACAGACCTTAGTTTTTGTATTAAATATTGCAATGCATACAATCACATTTACTGTATATAATTTTTATCTGCAGGAGTCCCATTCAATAACATCTATTCTATGTGTATGACATTTAGCGGGCCAGATGGTAGAGATTGAGAATAGAGAACTACACTACTCAAAAGGGGACTTCATTGAACATTCAGTAGACAAAAGGAAATTGAGGAGCGACCATGTTTTCCTTGATGATATGCCCTGTTACTGTACCTAAGTAATGTTGGTAATGGTGTAATGGTACCACTCTACATTTTAAAAAAGGCATGGTGTTTTCTACATGCTACATTTGAGCTTGGCTGAAACAAGTTTAGCAAGAGTATAGGTGAGGACTCGCAGTCTCTCGTTCAGACAATAATGTACTGTACATCATGAGCCATTCGTAGATATGGCTAAAGAGAGCATGTCAAACCTTTACAGCAGTCATGACAAATGATAAGGAGGATTTTAGGCTAGGAAAAAAATCTGACTGGGCACAGACGTCAGTTCAATGTCTAGTTTTGATTTAAATTTGGTTGAGTTGTCAACTAATGTGAATTCAATGTGAAATCCACAAAAAATGTCACCATGTCATTGGATTTAGGTTAAAAGTTGGGTGAAAAAAAGATGATTACTTTTTGCAAATCCAATCAGTTTTCCATGTTGATTCAACGTCGTCACAGATTTTATTTGCTCAGTGGAATGATTCTTAATGACTTATTGTCATTACAAATCGTGTACAGTAATGCCATTCTGTAATTTGTTACGACGGTTCGTAAAGAAGTGATTTTAAAAGACAAAGTGGGGCCCATTATTTCCCACCAGATATGCATCTCTCCTATAAGTAAAAAATCATCATAATTTGTTTGAAACCTGCATTACATGCAGAATATCAATTGGTCGATAGATCAAACCTGTCTTCAACATATTCTTATCAGACTATCAGTATCTTAAAAGAAGAGTAAGAGGACTCTAAGTTTGGGGGTATGTGGAACGGGAGTGGATGAATGTGTGGTTGTATGTGAGTGAGCAAAGGGAGACAGAACCGAGCTCTAGGAGAGGAAGGAAATTGCTGGGGTCAAAGGTCAGGGGTCAAGATTTGGGGGTCATCACTGGGTGAGGGCCTGAAGGATATCCTTGACCAGCATCGTGCCAATCACCATTTTCTCACAGTTGACTGTCAGCTGGGCGGCCCCGTCCTCTTTGGTCACCACACTGACCAGTACAAGGCTGCCACTGGTCACTGTCTTCCCAGCGAACCTGTGAATCGTAAACGGGGGAGGAGGAACAGGAGGGCTAAGTTCAAAGATCAAAGAGCAGAAGTAAAGATGAAGTTGAAGAAAAAAAAAAAAAATACCAAATTATAGTTGAATCAATATTATGACACAAAACCAGCAACACTCTTTCATGATTTCATAACTGCCTATTTGACACATTCCCCTACTATCTCCTCTGTCTAATAAAACATGCAACATACTAATTCAACAAATAAAAATTTTTTATATCAATATGTATTCTGGCGCCATCTGCCAACTTTGACAACTTTTCCAAACGCCCGCCCCTCTCACCTGCACTCCTTGTCTGAGCCACAGGGCACTCGGCCGAGGTTGGCGGCAGTGGTAACCCTCTGGACAATAGTGTGCTCGCCCTGACACTTCTCTTCCAGGGTCAGCTTCTCTGTGATCTCATTCATGCCCATCAACTGACCTGAGGACAGTACAAAATAGTAGCGGTCAAAAGATGAGTGGTCGAGGAGTCTGCATCAGCATCTCAATTCGTCTTCCCGCGATTCCTTGCATCCTATCTCCTCGGCTCCTTCTCAACTGTATTGGAGGAGACGGTCCAAGGTCCCTCCCATCAGACCTTCTTCTCCAATACTTTTTAGGGATGCAAGGAAATCGAGGAATCGAGGAAAGATGAATTGCAGGTTCCAGCTTGAGTGAGATTGAACATGTGTTTGTAGAAGGCCAATTGAATTTTGTTTTTATGAATGCTCATTGACACCAGACTCCTTCAAAATAGGAGACTGTCCAGTGAATACATAACATTTCAACCAAACCTCCTTGTGTAATATCTCATACTATATGGAGGCATTTGTGTCCATATACCATTTGATGCTACAACAATCTAAAACTCTATAGGGTCTACTACCATAAAGGGGTTGGGATTTGCACAATTCTCTTAGGACTACACTCACTATAATATGCTTTAGGATTAAAAGACTACAAATATGTGCCATTAAATAAGCATGGTGCTTAATGTGGAAAACAAACTCACAAGGCAGTGACACTTTCCTAAGAATAAGAAAGTAATCTGATATTTGCCAAAAACAGGAGTTCGAGGGGAATAGCCTGCACGTGGATTACTTTACTTATCAGGTTGCAGGTCTATAACTCATATTTCTATCCTGCTTGTCTTTTTGTCACATTTTCTCATATATCACTGTCAAACTTCCTTGAACATAGAAAAGGCTTCCTGAAAGAGATTGAAATGTTCCCTCTTCGTTCTGTGATGTCTTAGTTATATATGGCTGAATTCAGCAAACTTCTCCACAAACTTCCTCCACGCTAAATCTAGAATACAATGAACATTAACTTGTAATGTATTATAAAAACACCATTATATGCATTAACTGGAAGCAGCATGCTATACTGTCCTCTCACCATTCAGACAAAGTTAAGTTAGCTATATTTCTCTAAAACATCTGAATGTGATGAATGTGGCCTACAGTATGCATTAGTTACAGCCCATGTGTCTTACAGCCTGTATAATACAATACAATCAATGCTGTGAAAGAAGAGCGCAATGGTTTCAAATGCAGTGCCTTTTTCTAAATCGGACATCCTCTTTGCGCATTCCCGGAACTACAGTATTCCATAGTGCTAGGACATTGATTCGGGATTAGTGGATCTAAGTGGAGCATTCCCAGTCATTCCCAGTGGAGCTACAGTACACGTTAGAGGCTGGGATGCAGGTTAGGTTATGTTAGGTCAATTGTGTCTGCCATTGAAGTGAACTGGAGATACATAGTGCAAATAGTCATCGGCTCCCAGGCATTAGACATCGCTGAGGGGGTTATAGGGGGGAACAGCTTGAAGCAAGGGAGGAGATGTTGAGGGGAAGGATGGGGAGGAGAGGTTGAGTCTCGTATGGGGGGTGGGTTGTTAAGGCAGGTGGCACATAGACAGCTGACGAGAACAAGTTCTATCAAAGGAAACTTACCTAGACTTTGTAATAGCGTCTCTATTGGGACCAGTATCAAGAGGGAAGAACGGAGGATATGACACGTTTAAACACACAATATGGTTGGATTTGAGTTGAAAGCCTTGCCCAGTGTTAGTGATTCTGCTCCAAGGGTGACCATTGCTATTAAACCAGGTTAGAATGAATACCAAGGTTTCCTGGTGGGTGTGGATTTGATCAAGTCAGAGGTGATAGTGCGGTAGTAGTCACATGCCATTGTTAGGGTTAGTTTGTGTAGTGACTGATGGAAACTGCCATTCATTAGTGAGAAAAAATAAATATACTATGATTTGCCTCAGAAATGTACAAATTCTTGAGTGTTCTTTTGGATACCAACCCAAAACAACACCCAGAGGCAAAGACATCTCAAAACAAACTGCATCAATTCAGGGATTTTACTATTACAAAACAATAACGTTGTATTACTCTTTGTTGACACTAGCATTGTTTCTTTAGCACAGTCAAAATGGGGCCCATATCAAATGTGTTTGAGGGGGTTTCGTGTCACATTGATGTTTTAGTTAAATTGGTTAATTTCCATGCAGTGGTTCCTGTGCTCACCTTGCTCCTTTTTGAACTCATTTTCTGTCATAAAGATCGGCATCATCAGCTCTCCAACCGGTGGCTGGATCGATACAAAGAACTTCCTGGTGTGAGTGCTGCAAAGGAACAATAAGACATGACATAGGAGAATAGAGGAGAATAGAGCAATAATACTGTGCAGTGATTAGGGTCGCAAAATTCAGGAAACTTTCCCAGGAATTCTCTGGTTTTCCAGAATTCCCAGTAGGATTCCCGGAACCAGGAGGGAATACGCAGGTAGGGAATCCTCCAACTCGGAATCTTCCAACCAGGATTGCTGAAAAACCCAGGAACTTTGGGAAAGTTTCCAGAATTTTGCAACACTAGTGGTGATACGTGACAGGCCATATGGGGGGAGGGGAAAGTACACAGACGCTAGTTGGGATCTAAGCAATCTACAGCCATCTGGGAGCAGGCTCTTCCTTACCAGAGCTGGAAGTTGGCCGCCTGTGTGGAATCACAGAAGTCGATGCCCATCACCACGCTAACAGTCTCACCCGCAGGTAACACCTCTGAAAACAACACAAGATACTAGGTAAAAGAGACAGTCCACTAACTAGCCCAAAACAATGACAAACAGCTACCTAGATAGATCACTGAATGACTGATGTGTAATTCAAATTTAAACTGGCTCCCGTTTCTTTTTTGTTCCACGTAGAACATTTTAACCCAACAAAGAACCATTTCTTTCAATTATCTTTTCCAAAAAGGCTTCTTCAGATAAAAAAAGGGTTCCATGTAGAACCCTACCTGTCCTCAAAGAACCCTTTTAGAACCCCTTCTTCAAAACTATTAAAAGAGGAATTCTGTAGTGAAATGTTGACTGACCGATCTCAAGGAACTCTTTGATCCTCATGCCCGACTGCAACTTGACGTCCTCCACGTGCAGGCTCTTGGCCTCGGAGGTGGCGCTGTTGGTGAACTGGATTTTGACTGCCACCATGTGTGGGTCGGGGCTGAACGGCTGGCGGTTGAAGCAGTACTCTACTGATAGGCCCTCGCCGGTGATACGGTGGAGCAGCTCATAGGTCTTCAGGTTGCAGGATGGGGCGATGGTCTGAGGTATGGAAACAGAGGGTTATAGTGATCTGTTGATGTAAGGGCTATAGTGTTGGGTTGACAGTCACTGGACCCAGGTTCGAATCCCGGTTGGGGTTACCCCCTAAAATGTATCCAAATATACTATACATCTTCGAAAATATTCAGTAAAATCGTCACTCATTACATTTTATAAAGCTTTGAATGTATGGTACTTAATCTCTCTTTATATCTACATACAGTATCTCTCTCTATCAAGCTACATCTACATGAAGTGCTCAGGCCCTCGGGGGTAGGGGCTAGGGGTAGTTTATGTCCTAGAAAGGGTACTCACCGTAGGGGACAGAACGTTGTCAGTCAGGGATAAGCCCTCCAGATCTGTCACTAGGCTGCTGGACAGGAAGTTGTTGAGGGGCGTGACTTGAGACGGAGACGGAGCAGGGTCAACTAGGAAGAGGAAGGAGCACAGCGTTTTCTCAAAGACTGGAAAGCAATCATTTATAGTCTGATGCTGTGCTAATGTAAACAAACAAGCAAATAGCGGTGATTCAGTATCATGGACAATGGTGATCGTGGACTTCTGAAGTTGCAATGTTGAGTACCACAGACACAAATATATTTGATTTTAAACATTTTATGTACAATTTTAAATAATAGAGAATAAATCTGCACATAATTAAAATAGACTTATCCAGTGACATCGATGATCAATTGTTCATCATCCCATTCAAATTCTATGTAGGACTACTTGAGGGGGAAAGTGTAGTGTGTCACTGTATTCCTGGTATCGTGGGTTTAGTAAAAAGGAGGTGAACTTACAGTCATCAAAATCAAGCAGAGACATTTCTTTCTTGTCTTTCTTGTTCTCTTTTTTGGGTGGTTTGGAGGGAGGTTTAGATGCTGTGGTCTGAAAATAAGAGAAAGAGAAACTAACCCACAAGCAAAAGGAGACCTGCCACCTGAATATAGTGTTTAAAGGAGGAACAAAAGTAAATAGATATAAACGATATTACCACTTGTGCATGAAAGCAAAGGAGTATGTTCATACATACCCAACGTGACGCCGGGCGTTTTGGACTTCTAACCCATTTTAAACATTGTGTGTTTGAGCTACAGACTTCTGTTGAACCATTGGATTCATCTCTTTTGCATCCTTTGAAACCAACCACTAGTCTGTGTGATTAACGTGGGCTGAGCTAGGGCGGTGTTTGTGAGACAAGGGCGGATCCCAAAGGGTTCTGGGGCCGGTTCCTCTCACAAAGACGTCTGTAAAGTCGGAATGGTTTGAGCTACAAACCCATCTATGGAAAGCTGAGACTCTCACGAAGACGTACATGTAATCGTGCATGTTTTGCGTGCGTGTTTTGATCTATGACGCTCACAAGCCACACAAGAGTAGTTTGAAGGTATGGAGTTTTTCTACATTGACGATCATAGGAAATCCCAGGACATAAGCTCACATAGTTGCTGTCACAAACTCCAAACTTCACATTTGCCACTGACTAGTTGGATATTAATTTCCTACTGAGCAAACAATTTCTGTACTTAAATTCAATTTTATCATCAGGTTTTTACTTGGCAGACCTTGTTTCTTTTATTGACATTTGTCAATAATACTCATGAATACAACTGTTTATGTTAAACTCTTTTGTGTTCTACTTGTAGCCCTGGTTAACCTGAAAAGAAAATGGTAAAACACTTAATTGTGAGGCTAAATATAAGGGCTGGACTTGCAGATACCGGTAAATGAAAGTAGTGCCTTGGGCAACTCCACGACTTTTCAACCTAATTTTCATTATCTCCAGCACAGAAGGCGAGGTCAGTACAGGTGCATCAAATTGGGACAGAGAGACTGAAAAACAGCTTCTATCTCAAGGCCATCAGACTGTTAAATAGCCATCACTAGGCGACTTCCACCCGGTTACGCAACCCTGCACCTTAGAGGCTGCTACCCTATATACATAGACTTGGAATCACTGGCCACTTTAATAATGGAACACTAGTCACTTTACTCATCTCATATGTATATACTGTATTCTATTCTACTGTATTTCAGTCTATGCCACTCCGACATTGCTCGTCCTAATATTTATAGATTTCTTTATTCCATTATTTTACTTTTAGATTTGTGTGTATTGTGTGTATTGTTGTGAATTGTTAGATATTACTGCACTGTTGGAGCTAGAAACACAAGCATTTCGCTATACCCGCAATAACATCTGCTAAACATGTGTATGTGACCAATACAATTTGATTTGATTTGAATACCAGTGTCAATACATGTGAAAATTGCTAATTTCTAGATTTGGTAGAAAAAAATAGTGATTTTCAAACACTATGATATTCGCAGGGAGCAAGAAAAGACCCTCCCTTGGGGTAGAAACTCATTGCAGTTTCTTACTTTTAATCCTAGCCTGTGATGTCACAGAGAAGCATTTCTTTATGACCTTTCTTCTTGTCTTTTTAACCACAGAAACGCACTGTTTTCACATATGTAGACACTGGTTGGTGCTGGAGATTATGAATATGAGGTTGAAAAGTGGCAGAATTGCCCTTTAAGTTTATTAGTTTACTGTATACATTGGGAATGTTGACATCGAAGAATATCAAATGTGCTTTATGCCAACCATCAGATAATGCCAATGTAGAATGTGTGTGTTACGTCTCTGTGTGTGTGTGTGTCTGTAGTATGTGTATTTTCGAGTCTCTCTCTCATTACCCACCTTCTTTTTCTTCTTGGTCTCCTCATCTGACTCCTCTTCTGACTCCTCTTCCTCTGACTCGCTGCTCTCTGATTCACTATCCTCGTCCTCCTCGGATTCAGACTCGGAGCTACCAATCCGCGGTTTGCTCTTCCTCTCACTCTTCTTCTCATCCTCTCCACTGCTCTGCTCACTGTGATGCAATGGTCAACAAGTGTCAAAGGTTTAATGAAGGAATTTCACATCTTTAGAGCTCTTGATGTCATAGGATTGCATTTCCTAGTGCTCTGCTACAGATTTTGACTACAGTCTCTGGGTTACATACTTGGTTACACACCTTTTTAATATGAATTAAAAAAGTAAAGAAAAAAACTAAACATTTCAACTTTTGATATTAAAGATGCGTTATAACGGTTTTGTCTAATTTTAGCCAGTAGTTTTGAAAGTAGCGCTCACGAGCCAAAACGTGTCCCCGAAAATTGTGCACGTCATCCCATTATTGTTCTCGAGCCTCTGTAGCGTGTGCCCGAAGAAAATAAAAAAAACTCTGTGGTGTTCATGTTGGGCTAACCCCGCAACCTCATTGGACAATACTGTGCTGATACTGTGCTGATCCCGCCTCCCAATTTACCCTTGCAACCTCATTGGACATCAATCCACCTGCCAATCAACATTGTCCATCAAACTCGGTTGTCGCAGGCTAGTTCCCATTATAGCTCCCATTGTAGCGCATGGTCTCATCAGATTAGTATGGCAAATGAGTAAGCGAAAATGTATACTTATGTTTGCATCAAATATCCTACTCCTTGAAAGTTGTGTCTCAATTATATCATATGCCTACGTGATGAATGATGATCGCTGGCAATTAACAGCTGTAGTATTGCCTACATTGGATTACCCCATATCATGGAATACGTGTGTGAAAGTTTATAAAGAAAAAAGGTGGACACATTAAATTATTTTATTTGGATGGCCGGTTGACACAACATAAAGGTGAATCTGGTAATGAATGGTGTGGCTGTTGAACAAGTTGAGGAGACTAAATTACTTGGTGTTAGCTTAGATTGTAAACTGTCTTAGTCAAAACATATAAATTCAATGGTTATAAAGATGGGGAGAGGTCTGTCCGTAATTAAGAGATGCTCCGCATGACACCGCATTCGAAAAAGTCCTGCTCTAGTTTAGTCTTATCTTGATTATTGTCCAGTCGTGTGGTGTAGTGCTGCAAGGAAATACCTAGTTAAGCTGCAGCTGGCCCAGAACAGAGCGGCACGTCTTGCTCTTCATTATAATCAGAGGGCTAATATAAATACTATGCATGCCAGTCTCTCTTGGCTAAGAGTTGAGGAGAGACTGACTGCATCACTTCTTCTTTTTATAAGAAACATTAATGTGTAGAAAATGCCAAATTGTTTGCAAAGTCAACTTACACACAACTCTGACACTTACCTCACCAGACATGCCACCAGGGGTCTTTTCACAGTCCCCAAATCGAGAACAAATTCAAGAAAGCATACAGTATTATATAGAGCCATTATTGCATGGAACTCCCTTCCATCTCATACTGCTCAAATGAACAGCGAACCTGGTAAAAAAAAAAAAAGATAAACTAACACCTCACGGCACAAAACCTTTCCCCTATTTGACCTAGATAGTTTGTGTGTATGTACTGACATGTTGGCTGGATGTACTTCTGTCCTTGAGCTGTTCTTGTCTATTCATGTTCTGTATTATATCATGTTTCATGTGGACCCCAGGAAGAGTAGCTGCTGCTTTCGCAACAGCTAATGGGGGTCCTAATAAAATACCAAGGTAGGCCAATAATTGTTCATCTAAAAAGTGGGTGAAAGTTTGCAGTATACATTTCTCGAGCGCATCAAAGTTGTGTGTTGTGTTGCGATTCACGAAAGGGATGGATGGATGCGTGCCTTGTAAAAATCTTATAGCCTATTCCACAATATATTCAAAAATGTAAACAAAATACACCAGCAAGATACAGGTTGTGAGCATAGTGTTTCTGATTGGGTTAACAATGATATTCTAAAGTATTTGTGTGCCTACAATGCCATCTTTAGCGCACAACATTTTCTGGTTTGCAGAGAAAGGCATTGAAAGAGATAAATGAAACCACTACCAAGGTCTAATAGATATAACTTATAATTGTAAATGTTTTCTCACTTATGATGCATGGATTTGATTGATGCATTCAATGTATTTTCACTGTTATCAAAATAACTAATGGTAAGGCATGCTAACTAATGGTAAGTTATAACCTACATTTGTGTTTTGTTTTTACATACTGGTAGCCAGAGTCGTTCAAGGGAATTCGGGACATGGGTGACTAGTTAACGTTAGCTTGGCTCTCTCTGTGTGTTCGTGCCGTGGGAGGACGGGTTTCTTCGTTGGCAGAAAGCAATGGCTAGCTAGTATGCTAACTATTCTAGCTAACTAACTGGCTGAATAAGTTGACGACGGACTCGCTCAAGCTGTCGGGACTAACCCACAACATTAGACACGGACACGAATGATCTGCTTGGCGTGTTGACACACTGGTGGTTTGTTGTGGCCGAGTATTGGTGCTAAACCGTGTTGTTGGAGTCCGGCATGCTAGTTGGCTGTGGCGTCATATGACTAGATGCCCTGGACGGTTTTCACGGAAGAATACTGTACCAAGTTAGCTAGCTGAATAAACTAAGTTAGTCTATTCCTAGAAAACATTGAACCGCGGTAGTTTACAACAATTATAGTTTCTGAGGTGGAAGTTGGGAGAGTTATATTTGGGTGTTTCAGTGAAACGTAAGTGAGGGAGGCCCCGCTCTCTCGCTTTCCCAGATGTTTAGTTCATTTCATTCCGATCTCCTTTGCATTATTGTAGCCATTTTCTGTAGCCTGTCAACTATGCCTCTGTCTATCCCTGTTCTCTCCTCTCCGCACAGGCTATACAAACGCCTCACACAGCGTGGCTGCTGCCTCTCTAACCTGGTGGTCCCTGCACGCACGACCCACATGGAGTTCCAGGTCTCCGGCAGCCTCTGGAACTGCCGTTCTGCGGCCAACAAAGCAGAGTTCATCTCAGCCTATGCTACCCTCCAGTCCCTCGACTTCTTGGCGCTGACGGAAACATGGATTACCACTGAAAACACTGCTACTCCTACTGCTCTCTCCTCGTCTGACCATGTGTTCTCGCATACCCCGAGAGCATCTGGTCAGCGGGGTGGTGGCACAGGAATCCTCATCTCTCCCAAGTGGACATTCTCTCTTTTCCCCCTGACCCATCTGTCTATCTCCTCATTTGAATTCCATGCTGTCACAGTCACTAGCCCATTCAAGCTTAACATCCTTGTAATTTATCGCCCTCCAGGTTCCATTGGAGAGTTCATCAATGAGCTTGACGCCTTGATAAGTTCCTTTCCTGAGGATGGCTCACCCCTCACAGTTCTGGGTGACTTCAACCTCCCTACGTCTACCTTTGACTCATTTCTCTCTGCCTCCTTCTTTCCACTCCTCTCCTCTTTTGACCTCACCCTCTCACCGTCCCCCCCTACTCACAAGGCAGGCAATACGCTTGACCTCATCTTTACTAGATGCTGTTCTTCTACTAATCTCACTGCAACTCCCCTCCAAGTCTCCGACCACTACTTTGTATCCTTTTCTCTCTCGCTCTCCTCCAACACTACTCACTCTGCCCCTACTCAGATGGTAATGCGCCGTCGCAACCTTTGCTCTCTCTCTCCCGGTACTCTCTCCTCTTCCATCCTATAATCTCTTCCCTCTGCTCAATCCTTCTCCCTCCAATCTCCTGATTCTGCCTCCTCAACCCTCCTCTCCTCCCTTTCTGCATCCTTCAACTATCTATGTCCCCTATCCTCCCGGCCGGCTCGGTCCTCCCCTCCTGCTCCGTGGCTTGACGACTCATTGCGAGCTCACAGAACAGGGCTCCGGGCAGCCGAGCGGAAATGGAGGAAAACTAGACTCCCTGCGGACCTGGCATCTTTTCACTCCCTCCTCTCTACATTTTCTTCATCTGTTTCTGCTGCTAAAGCCACTTTCTACCACTAAATTCCAAGCATCTGCCTCTAACCCTAGGAAGCTCTTTGCCACCTTCTCCTCCCTGCTGAATCCTCCACCCCCCTCCCCCCCCTCCTCCCTCTCTGTGGATGACTTCGTCAACCATTTTGAAAAGAAGGTTGACGACATCCGATCCTTGTTTGTTAAGTCAAATGACACTGCTGGTCCTGTTCACACTGCCCTACCCTATGCTTTGACTTCTTTCTCCCCTCTCTCTCCAGATGAAATCTTGCGACTTGTGACGGCCGGCCGCCCAACAACCTGCCCGCTTGACCCTATCCCCTCCTCTCTTCCCCAGACCATCTCCGGTGACCTTCTCCCTTACCTCACCTCGCTCATCAACTCATCCTTGACCGCTGGCTATGTCCCTTCCGTCTTCAAGAGAGCGAGAGTTGCACCCCTTCTCAAAAAACCAACACTCGATCCCTCTGATGTCAACAACTACAGACCAGTATTCCCTCCTATTCTCGCTATACACCAAGTCACTTGGCTCTGTCATATCCTCACATGGCCTCTCCTATCATTGCTACGCAGACGACACACAACTAATCTTCTCCTTTCCCCCTTCTGATAACCAGGTGGCGAATCGCATCTCTGCATGTCTGGCAGACATATCAGTGTGGATGACGGATCACCACCTCAAGCTGAACCTCGGCAAGACGGAGCTGCTCTTCCTCCCGGGGAAGGACTGCCCGTTCCATGATCTCGCCATCACGGTTGACAACTCTGTTGTGTCCTCCTCCCAGAGTGCGAAGAGCCTTGGCGTGACCCTGGACAACACCCTGTCGTTCTCCGCTAACATCAAGGCGGTGACCCGATCCTGTAGGTTCATGCTCTACAACATTCGGAGAGTACGACCCTGCCTTACACAGGAAGCGGCACAGGTCCTAATCCAGGCACTTGTCATCTCCCGTCTGGATTACTGCAACTCGCTGTTGGCTGGGCTCCCTGCCTGTGCCATTAAACCCCTACAACTCATCCAGAATGCCGCAGCCCGTCTGGTGTTCAACCTTCCCAAGTTCTCTCACGTCACCCCGCTCCTCCGCACACTCCACTGGCTTCCAGTTGAAGCTCGCATCTGCTACAATACCATGGTGCTTGCCTACGGAGCTGTGAGGGGAACGGCACCTCCGTACCTTCAGGCTCTGATCAGTCCCTACACCCAAACGAGGGCATTGCGTTCATCCACCTCTGGCCTGCTGGCCCCCCTACCTCTGCGGAAGCACAGTTCCTGCTCAGCCCAGTCAAAACTGTTCGCTGCTCTGGCACCCCAATGGTGGAACAAGCTCCCTCACGACGCCAGGACAGCGGAGTCACTCACCACCTTCCGGAGACACTTGAAACCCCACCTCTTTAAGGAATACCTGGGATAGGATAAAGTAATCATTCTACCCCCCTTCACCCACCCCAAAGAAAGAAAGAAAAAAAAGAAAAAAACATATTGTAAAGTGTTTATCCCACTGGCTATAAGGTGAATGCACCAATTTGTAAGTCGCTCTGGATAAGAGCGTCTGCTAAATGATGTAAATGTAAATGTAAAATGTAAATGTAAATGCATGCAACCACTTGAAAACTTGCTTCAGAGCGGGGGTTCGCTACATCACAGGAACGAGCATATTCTAAATGATGGCAGGTTAGAATGTAGATAGTTTATTATGCATGTATGAGCCATACATTGACATGTCGAGTCCAAAACGTGAGGTATAAAAAAGAACGAGGTAGTTTTCAATTTTCCGGAACATCTTTTTAAGGGAAAAATGTGTGCTACCTTTCACTTTCTGGAACAGGTTTCCTTGCTTTGATCTTCTCCACATTCTTCTTTTTCTTCTTCCTCTCTTCCTCCTCACTTGCAGACTCGGACTCCTCGTTGCTCTCCTCACTCTCGGATCCCGAGCCGCTCTCCTCACTGCCACTGCCACTCTCTGAGCCGCTGGCTGTGTCTGATACTGGGGGTGGAGAGGAAAGGTTTATATTCATCCCATCCTACACAGATTCTGTCTGATATACTTATAGGTAGGGTCGCAAAAGACCTGTAATTTACCAAAGTTACTGGCATTTTCAGTAATTTTTTATTAACAGGTAATCTATGGCAATCTATTATAACTTTGGTAATTTATACTTTTGATATAAAATATTCATTTTTTTGTAAATCTGTCTCCACATTTTCCATGAGGTTGTAGTGGAAAATAGGCTAATTAATGAAAAAATCATAGAATAAACGATGGCATCATTTTCAATTAACTCTGCAACTCTCCCAGCTATTGGCTGTTTTCACAACTGCCTCCAAAACATTTACAACAAAGACATATTGACATAGTAAAATAAATAAAAGTGTGTAAAAAGGATATTTCATGCTGAAACCCTGATATTAAACACCAACGGTATTCACTAAGTTGATGGGTTATATTTAGGATAATGTTTTACAGCTTTATCATTTAATTTTGTATTTTAAAATCATATTATTTTATATATTTGACACTTTATGAAAATTCTATAGAATCCTTGAAGGTTTCCCAAATTCCGGTGGTTTACTGGTAAACGTAGAAAGTTGACAGTAATATACCCTCCCTTTTCAACCCTACTCATAGGACACCATAAAACACATATAGGCAAACATTTCCACAGATGCACACACACACAAACGCTTTTTACGTTATCACTGTATTATTCTTCATGTTAGGAAGTGTGGTGAAGGGGGTTGTGAGGTTGTGTATGGAAGTAAGCAGCCCTAGTTACCACTGTCAGCAGATTCGGTTGGGCCAGACTCGCCCTCCGAGTCAGAGTAGAATGGCTTGTCCGCCTTCTTTTCTTTTCTTTTCTCGCGGCTGCTGCACTTGGTCCACTCCGGCACCTGGCAAAGAGGTCAGAGGTCAAAGAGTCAGCCGTGTCACCACCACGTCCGAAGCGTTTCAATGGAAGCAGAGAAGAGGGGTTCATCCGAAATGGCACCGTATTCCCTAGTGCAATACTTTTGACCAGGGCCCGCATAGGGGAATATGGTGCCATTTCGGATGCAGCCAAGGATAGAAGACGCAGCATGACCATGACCGCTTCCCCATGGGGCTGACCCTGTGAACCAAACCAACTAGCCATATGGGCTTCCATTATGGTACAGTTCCGTGAAGCTCTAGTCAACACAATTGTCATAACATGTACTGTATACCATGTTTAACTTGTATTTATTGTTTTCCACAGCTAGGTGGCAGCACCAGGTGATGCCTTCATGGCCAGTTGTAATAGTGTTTGATTTAGATTATTTAACCGGAGTAGTTCCAATAAAGATGTGATGTCCTCCAGGAGCAGTCAATGTCCTGCCACTGAAAAATGTAACAACATTAAAATGTATTGTATTAACCGAGGGTGTATTATTTTATATTCTTACTGGTACAGTATGTTAGTTGTTTCTCTTACATGCAAAAAACAACAACAACAACAACAACCACAACAAGTAAGAATAAGGGAAGTTTGAAGAAGTGGGAGGACTGTCAACTCTTCTGAAGGAATCGACTCTTTAATGGTAGAGACAGAGGAGGGTGCTGAGTTGGGTAGTTTTGCTGAGTTAGGTAGGCACAGAACAGCAGCTACGGTACGCCAGGGGTGTCAAAAAGCACTTTGGCGCTATGGGGAGGGGGGGGGGGGGGGGTGTCATAGAGGCAAGCTCTTTGCCACTGACAGACTCACGCTGGTTAAAGTTGTGACTCTTTCGAGCAGCGTAATAACCTGGCAGGACGGAAGAAAGAAAAAGATTGGGATGGAGGTGAGATGAGAAAAGAAAGAAAAGACTAGAAAGAGGTATAAAAAAAACAAGGCAAAAAATAAACGGACAGGGATTCAAGTTGCACTTACTCAATACTGTAGATGTTCAAAAACAGTTTTCACTTCTAAGCGATTGTTACTACAAGGCTTTACCTTACTCTCTTTAAAATATATTATTTAACATACTTTGACAAAATTACCATAATTAAGCATTCATTAAACAACATTACCAAAGTACTTAAACATTACTTCAACAACTTGAAATTACTTCAATTAGGAATTTGTTAACTTACTTTAACCAAGTTATTAAATAACTTAATAAAGTTTACAAATTCACAATTACTTATGGTTATCATAATCATTACAGTACATCCAATATCAAAGACTATATATCGATGGTAAAGCATGAGGTGGTGTTTGCTTATTGAACTTCGCTACGGTAGTGCAACCTAGATTGAATGAATCCAGTGGGAGTTGAATGGTGGAACACATGAAGAGAAGAACATAGAAGATCGAGAAAGGCAGATTTCGGATTGGAAACAAGGTTGGCACACACCGCACAACAAGTAAAAGTCAAACACGGCAGTTCACACGCAAAATACACAAACTGTACCACTTCCTCAAGTCCAATCTCAGTGACTGACATTAGAGACCAGTAGCCTAACTATCCATCTAGCTATGGACCATTTCAAAACTGAAACTTTCTCTTTATATAAATAGCTATAAGAGACAGAGCTGACTTTGACGTCTATAGCATTCATTCTAGAAATACGGTCATAGAATACCTGTAGCAATTGACCATCCTTTACAGGCTCAACTAAGTAATCATACCAATTAATTCCCATCTAAACCAATCCGCACTGACATCAAACACCAATCCTTTTGAATATGGTGCCACTTGAATATTGTGCCACAGCTGGTGTGCGATCTCTAATATTAATATTTCGCAGTTCTGCTCACCTGAGTTGGAATATATTTTTCGTAGCTGTCTATTTACCACCACAAACCGATGCTGGCAGTAAGACCGCACTCAACGAGCTATATAGGGCCATAAGCAAGAAAATGCTCATCCAGAGGCGGCGCCCCTAGTGGCCGGTGATTGTAATGCAGGGAAACTTAAATCTGTTTTACCAAATTTCTACCAGCATGTTACCTGTGCAACTACAGGAGACAAAAAATCTAGATCACCTTTACTCCACACACAGAAACAAATACAAAGCTCTTCCTCGCCCTCCATTTGGCAAATCTTACCATAACTCTATCCTCCTGATTCCTTACAAGCAAAAACTCAAACAGGAAGTACCAGTGACGCGCTCAATACAGAAGTGGTCCGATGAAGCGGATGCTAAGCTACAGGACTGTTTCGCTAGCACAGACTGGAATATATGCCGGAATTCATCCGATGGCATTGAGGAGTTTACCACATCAGTCACCGGCTTCATTAATAAAGTACATTGATGACATCATCCCCACAGTGACTGTGTGTACATATCCCAACCAGAAGCCATTGATTAGAGACAACATCCGCACTGAGCTAAAGGCAAGAGCTGCCACTTTCAAGGAATGGGACACTAATCCGACGTAGACGTAGAGCCGGCGTAGTAGGATTCGATCTTAGTCCTGTGTTGACGCTTTGCCTGTTTGATAGCTCCTGCTACGACCTTTGACGAGCCATCAAACAGGCAAAGCGTCAATACAGGCCTAAGATCGCATCCTACTACACCGGCTCTGACACTCGGATGTTGCAGGGCTTGCAAACTATCACAGATTATAAAGGGAAACCCAGCCGCGAGCTGCCCAGTGACGCAAGCCTACCAGACGAGCTAAATGCCTTCTATGCTTGCTTCGAGGCAAGCAACACTGAACCATGCATGAGAGTACCAGCTGTTCCGGACGACTGTTTGATCACGCTCTCCGTAGCCGATGTAAACAGATTAACATTCACAAGGCCGCAGGGCCAGATGGATTACCAGGATGAGTACTCAGAGCATGCGCTGGCAATTGTCTTCACTGACATTTTCAACTTCTCCCTGACACAGTCTGTAATATCTAAATGTTTCAAGCAGACTAACATAGTCCCTGTGCCAAAGAACGTCAAGGTAACCTGTCTAAATGACTATCGCCCCGTAGCACTCACATACAGTGGGGAGAACAAGTATTTGATACACTGCCGATTTTGCAGGTTTTCCTACTTACAAAGCATGTAGAGGTCTGTAATTTGTATCATAGGTACACTTCAACTGTGAGAGACGGAATCTAAAACAAAAATCCAGAAAATCACATTGTATGATTTTTAAGTAATTTAATTTGCATTTTATTGCATGACATAAGTATTTGATACATCAGAAAAGCAGAACTTAATATTTGGTACAGAAACCTTTGTTTGCAATTACAGAGATCATACGTTTCCTGTAGGTCTTGACCAGGTTTGCACACACTGCAGCAGGGATTTTGGCCCACTCCTCCATACAGACCTTCTCCAGATCCTTCAGGTTTCGGGGCTGTCGCTGGGCAATACGGACTTTCAGCTCCCTCCAAAGATTTTCTATTGGGTTCAGGTCTGGAGACTGGCTAGGCCACTCCAGGACCTTGAGATGCTTCTTACGGAGCCACTCCTTAGTTGCCCTGGCTGTGTGTTTCAGGTCGTTGTCATGCTGGAAGACCCAGCCACGACCCATCTTCAATGCTCTTACTGAGGGAAGGAGGTTGTTGGCCAAGATCTCGCGATACATGGTCCCATCCATCCTCCCCTCAATACGGTGCAGTCGTCCTATTCCCTTTGCAGAAAAGCATCCCCAAAGAATGATGTTTCCACCTCCATGCTTCACAGTTGGGATGGTGTTCTTGGGGTTGTACTCATCCTTCTTCTTCCTCCAAACACGGCGAGTGGAGTTTAGACCAAAAAGCTCTATTTTTGTCTCATCGGACCACATGACCTTCTCCCATTCCTCCTCTGGATCATCCAGATGGTCATTGGCAAACTTCAGACGGGCCTGGACATGCGCTGGCTTGAGCAGGGGGACCTTGCGTGTGCTGCAGGATTTTAATCCATGACGGCGTAGTGTGTTACTAATGGTTTTCTTTGAGACTGTGGTCCCAGCTCTCTTCAGGTCATTGACCAGGTCCTGCCGTGTAGTTCTGGGCTGATCCCTCACCTTCCTCATGATCATTGATGCCCCACGAGATGAGATCTTGCATGGAGCCCCAGACCGAGGGTGATTGACGTCATCTTGAACTTCTTCCATTTTCTAATAATTGCGCCAACAGTTGTTGCCTTCTCACCAAGCTGCTTGCCTATTGTCCTGTAGCCCATCCCAGCCTTGTGCAGGTCTACAATTTTATCCCTGATGTCCTTACACAGCTCTCTGGTCTTGGCCATTGTGGAGAGGTTGGAGTCTGTTTGATTGAGTGTGTGGACAGGTGTCTTTTATACAGGTAACGAGTTCAAACAGGTGCAGTTAATACAGGTATTGAGTGGAGAACAGGAGGGCTTCTTAAAGAAAAACTAACAGGTCTGTGAGAGCCGGAATTCTTACTGGTTGGTAGGTGATCAAATACTTATGTCATGCAATAAAATGCAAATTAATTACTTAAAAATTATACAATGTGATTTTCTGGATTGTTGTTTTAGATTCCATCTATCACAGTTGAAGTGTACCTATGATAAAAATTACAGACCTCTACATGCTTTGTAAGTAGGAAAACCTGCAAAATCGGCAGTGTATCAAATACTTGTTCTCCCCACTGTATGTAGCCATGAAATGCTTTGAAAGGCTGGTCATGGCTCACGTCAACACCATCCCAGACACCCTGGACCCACTCCAATTCGCATACCGCCCCAAAAGATCCACAGATGACGCAATCTCTATTGCACTCCACACTGCCCTCTCCCACCTGGACAAGAGGAACACATATGTGAGAATGCTGTTCATTGACTACAGCTCAGCGTTAAACACCATAGTGCCCTCCAAGCTCATCACTAAGCTAAGGACCCTGGGACTGAACACCTCCCTCTGCAACTGGATCCTGGACTTCCTGACGGGCCGCCCCCAGGTGGTGAGGGTAGGCAACAACACATCCGCCATGCTGAACCTTTAACATGGGGGCCCCTTAGGGGTGCATGCTTAGTCCCCTCCTGTACTCCCTGTTCACTCACGACTGCGTGGCCGTGCACAACTCCAAAACCATCATTACGTTTGCTGACGACAAGACAGTGGTAGGCCTGATCACCGACGACGATGAGACAGCCTATATGGAGGAGGTCAGAGGCCTGGCAGTGTGGTGCCAGGACAACAACCTCTCCCTCAACGTCAGCAAGACAAAGGAGCTGATAGTAGACTGGGGACAGATCGAGAGCTTCAAGTTCCTCGGTGTCCACATCACTAACGATCTATCATGGTCCACACGAACCAACACAGTCGTGAAGAGGACACAATAACTCCTCTTCCCCCTCAAGAGGCTGAAAAGATTTGGCATGGGCCCTCAGATCCTCAAAAAGTTATACAGCTGCACTATCGAGAGCATCCTGACCGGTTGCATCACCGCTTGGTATGGCAACTGCTTGGCATCGACCACAAGGCTTTACAGAGGGTAGTGCGTATGGCCCAGTACATCACTGGGGACGAGCTCCCTGCCATCCAGGACCTCTATAACAGGTGGTGTCAGAGGAAACCCCCTAAAAATTGTCAAAGACTGTTCACTCTGCTACCGCACGGCAAGCGGTACCAATGCACCAAGTCTGGAACCAACAGGACCCTGAACAGCTTCCACCCCCAAGCCATAAGACTGGAAAACAGTTAGTTAAATAGATAACCAAATATATTGAACAAAAATATAAATGCATCATGCAACAATTTCAAAGATTTTACTGAGTTACAGTCCTTTTTTGGAAATCAGTCAATTGAAATAAATTAATTAGGCCCTAATCTATGGATTTCACATGACTGGGAATACAGATATGCATCTGTTGGTCACAGATATCTTTTAAAAAATGGGCCTCACAATGGACCTCAGGAGCTTGTCACGGTATTTCTGTGCATTAAAATTGCCATTGATAAAATGCAATTATTTTAGTTGTCTGTAGTTTATGCCTGCCATTCCATAACTCCACCGCCACCATGGGGCACTTTGTTCAAAACATTGACATTAGCAAACTGGTCGCCCACACAACGCAATACACGTGGTCTGCGATTGAGAGGCCGGTTGATATGCCACACCGGTCAGGTGGAGGATTATCTTTGAAAACGAGAAATGCTCACTAACAGGGATGTAAACAAATTTGTGCACAAAATGGGAGAGAAATAATGTTGTTGTGCGTATGGAACATTTCTGGGATCTTTTATTTCAGCTCATGAAACATGGGACCAACACTTTAAATGTTGCATTTATATATATTTTTTAATAATTACAGTATTTTACTGGGTGAATTTCACATTTACTTGAGTCATTTTCTATTAAAGGTATCTTTACTTTTACTCAAGTATGATAATTGGGTACTTTTTCCACCACTGGATAGAATCCTCTGCAAAGCACCAAAAAGGGTTCTTCAAAGGGTTCCCCTATGGGGACAAACCGAAGAACCCTGTATGGTTCTACATAGCACCTTTTTTTCTAAGAGTGTAGCTAGACTATCCATACGATAAGATCAACTAGTTATTTGGGCAAACTATCCCTTCAAGTGTCTGGAATTAGTCATTTGGATGAACTCGCTCTTTAAATTACTGAAGCGCCCTGTTTGAGTTTGAGTGGTACAGAGAAACTAGAGAGAGAGTAGAGCAGTCAGTAAAAACACACTGCACTCTCAAACGGACGGCACCTCTCGCCTGTCTCCTAGCAAGCCGATCCGCCCCTCACTGCTGGTTATGACCTCCTCTATCTGCGGACCGAGGGCAGAGAGAGAGAGGTCATGGGGTCAAAAGGTCAAAAGTCACCAGATACAAATCCACATGTGACCTCGTCTGGAAATCTGCTTTGGTCATGAATTACACATGAATGCAGAACCATTGGGAATGAAAATACCATTTTTAAAACAAACATAAACCGTTCACGGAGCAACGATAACCCAATGGAACAACCAATCTCAAATCAAGAATTCTAATCACTCCTCCAGCGCAAGGGTTTGGATGTAAGGAGCGAGACTTAAGGATATTGATTTGATGTCATGGAATGATAGGTGTGGCGAAAAGGGAGCCTCTGTGGTTTGGGTAATTAGAGGAGTTTGGCGAGACTATACTGCATGGTGGTAATTTGAGTCTGTGTGGTGTGTTTTAGTAACAGTACATTTGCTGGGTCGTTTTCATTAGGCATCAAACAGAAGAAAACTAGGGGTGTTTGCTACCCTAGAGAGGCCAGAGCAGCGAGGGGTCTAATGGGTAGCATAGTATTGGATAAACTTGGCCAGTAAGCCACAGCTAGGCCAGCTAGAGTTTACTAGCGGACGCCTGACAGTGATTTCCCAATTTCACTAGTGTGCGCATGTGCTCAGAGGTGATAGCTAACTAGCCTCAGCTGTCATTAGCATAACAATACTCCACTCTGTTACCAGTTGATCGGAGTTGACGCTGGGACAGGTCATTCCTGTTACCGAGTCAATTTCAGATTCATTCTGTTACGTTATTAGCTGTTACGTAATAATGTTTATTGGGCATACCATACAGTTCATGAATCTGGGTCCTTGAACTTGACCAATACAGAATTAACCCTTTACAGGACACATTCTGGCACCAATGGCAGTATGTGCGGCAGCAGCATCCCATTGACAATGCATGGGAGACAATAGGGATGTGCGTAGTGCATATGAGGATGACGTTATGCTGATGAACAGTGAGTGACCAGTGAATGACTGGCAGGTGGTCATGATTAATGAAGTCAGTGTTATGTGTCAGTGTTTGGGTGCTACTGCAATTTGGTGGTGGTGTTGCGCCCCCTCCAAGGCATTGCCCTACTAGAGGAGTGCCCCTCGGGCTCCCCTCGGGTTTTGGGGGGCCCCTAGAGGCCCCCTGTCTCTGGCTGTTACTGTTTCCACTGCACGCACAGACTCCTTCACCTCCACGTTGCGCACAGAGGGGTCTGGGGCGGCCTCGGGCCAGTCGGGCAGCACCTGGTAGCCGCCAGCCTTGGCATTCAGCAGGTGGGACAACGAGCCCAGCTGGAAGTGGTCTCGATCTGGAAAACACAGAGAAATTACACAGTAAGATCCACATAATTACATAAAACATGATTATATTGTATCTCTATGGTATGAATTATGGTTAGGACTATGTTTACTTACAAAAAATACTTAAAAGGCTCATGTCTGACAACACAAAACAGAAGCAGAAATAGTAAGAGATTAGCCTGGTCTCAGATCTGGTTGTGCTATCTTGCCAACTCTGCGGTCATTATCGCCATAGACGTTGGCAGGAGAGCACAAACTGATCTGGGACCAGGCTAGTAAAAGAACACCATCTGATGAAAGACACCTTTAAATGGAGACTCGAGGATGGGCGCAGGCTTGAGGGCCAGGAACAGCTTCTTGGCATACTTGCTGAGGGCACCACTCTTGTCAGTGGGCACAATGAGCTGGCGGATGAAGCGCGCCCGGTCACGGATGTCATAGTTCTGATCGTACTTGGCCAGGTTCAGCACGTACTGAGTGAGCAGTTTTGTCTGAGGGAGGAGAGGAACAAGGGAGGAGGGAGTGTGGGAGGAGGGGAAAAGAGAGAGAATGTTACCTTCATCTGGAGGGAGGTTACAGATTGGTGCCAGAGACACCGAGAGAGAGAGAGAGAGAGGGCGAGAGAGAGATGGTGTGTTACATTGCAGTGTCCTGTATTTCAGCACCGTGGACAGCGCCATAGGGATGACTGTATCATACCAGTGGATCATTGGTGGAATGACCATAGAAATAGTAGTGACTGTAGAAGAGCCTTGACTGTACCATATTGAATTATGCTGAAAGTCTAAATCTCTTCCTACCTATGGAAAATATGCTTTAACGGAGAGATGGATGTGTTTTTATCCAAAAAGGGAGTAAGCCTGCTTGTGCAGTAAAACGAGAAGATGATCTGCTTCTCTGCCATCTTGTGAAAGGGTTTGATACAAGACACTGCTGCGAAGCTGGGGAGCTAAAGCAGCTAAAGGATGTGGCCATATTAACAGTGGTGGAAAAAGTACTAAATTGACATACTTGAGTAAAAGTAAAATATACCTTAATAGAAAATGACTCAAGTAAAAGTGAAAGTCACCCAGTAAAATACTACTTGAGTAAAAGTCTAAAAGTATTTGGTTCTAAATATACTTAAGTATCAAAAGTAATAGTAAAAGTATAAACCATTTCAAATTCCTTATATGAAGCAAACCAGACAGCACAATTTTTTCTTTTTAATTGACGGAAAGCCAGGGGCACACTACAACACTCAGACATAATTCACAAACGAAGCATTTGTGTTTAGTGAGTCCGCCAGATTAGAGGCAGTAGGGATGACCAGGAATGTTCTCTTGATAAGTGTGTGAATTGGACCATTTTCCTGTCAAAATGTAACAGGTACTTTTGGGTGTCAGGGAAAATGTATGGAGTAAAAAGTACATTATTTTCTTTAGGAATGTAGTGAAGTAAAAGTAGAAGTTGGCAAAAATATAAATAGTAAAGTAAAGTACATATACCCAAAAAACCTACTTAAGAAGTATTTGTACTTCAGTACTTTACACCACTGCATACTAAACCCACTGTTTTCTCAGTGTTTTGGTAAAGGCTTTACAAATACAAGCTGCTGTACCAGCTGTTCCCTAGAGAACCATGAGAGAGAAGGGGGAATAAAGTAACAGGGAAAATATAGCCTAGTGCTGTGTCTGTCTTATTCACATATGCTGAAACAACAGGTGATGGCGGTGGATGAATGGCATGACAATGGGCCTCAGGATCTCATCACGGTGTCTCTGTGCCAGATTCTTTAAAACAATGTTGGAGGCAGCTTATGAACATTCAGTTCTCTTACAAAAAGCTCTGGTGGACATTCCTGCAGTCAGCATGCCAGCTGCATGCTCCCTCAAAACTTGAGACATCTGTGGTATTGTGTTGTGTGACAAAACTGCACATTTTAGAGTGGCCTTTTATTGTCCCCAGCACAAGGTGCACCTGTGTAATGATCATGCTGTTTAATCAGCTTCTTGATATGCCACACCTGTCAGGTGGATGGATGATCTTGGCAAAGGAGAAATGCTCAATAACAGGGATGTAAACAAATTTTTGCACAAAATTTGAGAGATTTAAGCTGTTTGTGCGTATGGAACATTTCTGGGATCTTTTATTTCAGCTCATGAAACATGGGACCAACACTTTACATGTTGTGTTTATATTTTTATTCAGTGTAGATGCTGGCACCTGTTTGGAGTTGGTCAGGTAGAGTTTGGCAGCCAGGAGATGTTATAAGACATTATAATGGGGTCATACATGCTCATCACAAGTCTTAAATGCATTATAACTGCATCACCTGTTTGGAGTTGGTCAGGTAGAGCTTGGCAGCCAGGTTGATGATCTGCAGCTTGACGATGTCTTCCTCGTTGGTGAAGGTCTTGGCCATCTTCCTCAGGACATCCGGAGCGATCTTGGGAACGTGCTCGCAGTACTCCCCGATCAGCCACAGGATACTGGCCCGCGCCATGGGCACCTGTGTAGGCAGACAGAGCATGGACATTGGGCAAACAGGATGGATCAAGTGGAGAAACTGGAAGAGCTAGCTCTGGCTATTGGTCATATGTTACAATTTCTGAAATACAATCATAATACAATAGTAACACAATACAATTAACAATTAGTTTTTTCAACAAAAGTGCCTATTTGTTGCTTAATCAAAACAAACTCACAGCACAACCAAGCAGGCCTGTTGTGAAGGTTTGGGGACAAATGAACCAGCACAACCAAGCAGGACTGTTGTGAAGGTTTGGGGACAAATGAACCAGCACAACCAAGCAGGACTGTTGTGAACGCTTGGGGACAAATGAACCAGCACAACCAAGCAGGACTGTTGTGAAGTTTGGGGACAAATGAACCAGCACAACCAAGCAGGACTGTTGTGAAGGCTTGGGGACAAATGAACCAGCACAACCAAGCAGGACTGTTGTGAAGGATTGGGGACAAATGAACCAGCACAACCAAGCAGGACTGTTGTGAAGGTTTGGGGACAAATGAACCAGCACAACCAAGCAGGACTATTGTGAAGGTTTGGGGACAAATGAACCAGCACAACCAAGGAGGACTGTTGTGAACGCTTGGGGACAAATGAACCAGCACAACCAAGCAGGACTGTTGTGAAGGTTTGGGGACAAATTAACCAGCACAACCAAGCAGGACTGTTGTGAAGGTTTGGGGACAAATGAACCAGCAAAACCAAGCAGGACTGTTGTGAAGGTTTGGGGACAAATATGAACAACAACAACCAAAAACAATGACAAGAAAAAGAGCACCTCATGTAGTTACACTATGGGGTCAAGGTTAAGATCAGAGGCCTATGTACACGTACCTGGATGTTGTCGGTGAGTTTGGCCATGTGCTTGATGATGTCACTGTGTTGCTCGGGCTGCATCTGCAGCAGCTTCTTAATCACCACCACTGACTCGGCCACCACTAACTCTGCAACCGACACATGTTCACATTGTTATTCAACAACCTTCATTGAACTTTTGTTATATCACATTGGTCTTTGAGAGGAAATGTTTGATATGATGTCAGCTGAAGCACAGGGAATCCTGATATGTGGAGGCGACATGAATGTACGTTCAAACCCAAAACTTGGGTATTGTGTGTAGATTGATGAAGGAAAACAACAATTTAATACATTTTAGAATAAGACTAACGTAACAAAATGTGGAAAAAGTCAAGGGGTCTGAATACTTTCCGAATGCACTGTAAGTGCCTTTGAACAGGGTATGGTAGTAGGTGCCAGGCGCACCAGTTTGTGTCAAGAACTGCAACGCTGCTGGTATTTTCACACTCAACAGTTTTCCGTGTGTATCAAGAATGTTCTACCACCTGTGGGAAGCATTGGAGTCAACATGGGCCAGTATCCATGTGGAATGCCTTCGACACCTTGTATAGTAAATTCGATGACAAATTGAAGCTGTTCTGAGGGCAAAAGGGAGGGGGGAGGTGCAACGCAATATTAGGAAGGTGTTCCTAATGTTTGGTATACTCATTGTACGTCCATGTGTTTGAATAATAGACCAAGATCGACTCTCTGGAGGTTGAACTCAAATATTCTGAATAACCCACAGACGAAAGTACAAATGAAACTGGAAATCTGGAACAGAATGACAATGGTGAGGTGTCACCGTCTGTGCTCTGGGATGTATGCAAATCTCTTTTAAAGAAGAATAGACGAGAGAAACTTAATAAACTGCAATCTCAGTTAAAACAATTACAAAGGGCTCATAACACTCTAGATCCCAAGGTGAAACAAAAAATTAAAAAGATGAAGAATGAAATAGAAGAAATGTATTCACAAGAAATACAAAATAAGCTTCTATTCCTCAAACAGAGGTCCTATAAAGTAGGCAGTAAGTCTATGAAACTTTTAGCCTTTAGACTGAGAAAATAACAAGGCAACAGTCCCCCCCCCCCCTTGGCCAATTAGTGACAATTATTCAAATGTAGGTTGCTTGGATTAATGAGAGAGAGAGAGAGAAAAACAATCAAATCAAAAAGCCTAATTTGCAGAAAATTTAATGGACTGAGTTTATAGGTCCTTATGGGAAAATTGTTGCTTGATTTCCTTGTGGGGGACAACAAGCAGATAACACTGTCTGCAAGATTAGGAACCCCCAAACAAAAATAATTGAACATAAAGTAGAAGAGATACAAGATAGTTTTGAAATGTTTTACAGAATCCTACACTCCCAACCACACTTTGACAATGACTTACAGATAGACACATTTTTTAACTCACTGAACTTATCCACCATCAATGAAGAACAGAATGAGATGTTAATCTCAGAAATTAACAGAGGAATTAAATACAGCTATGACTAGTCTAAAAGCAAACAAATCCTTGGGTACGGACGGTTTCACCTCTGAATGGTATAAATCATTTAGAGAACAGATTATCCCAAGTTTACTTGCAGCCTTTAACTGGGCATTTCAGAAAGGTGAGATCCCCTCCTCAGTTCAGTTATACAGATGGAAGGGAACGATGGACTAGATTGTGGCCAATAAAGCAGATCACGGTCCTAAATTTGGATTACACTATACACATCTATTCTAACCAGAAGAATATAAAATATCTTACCAGAGCTCATTCACTTAGACCAGACAGGCTTTATCCGACAGACACACTCAGTACAACATTAGATGAACATTACATACATATCCAAGGGAATAAGGTAGAAGCCATTGTATTGTGCCTGGATGCTGAGAAGGCCTTTGATTCTGTCAGATGGGCCTGTATCTATTCCATGAGGACATTATTAAAGCATTTCAGGCATTATATGATAGACCATCAGCAATAATTAAAATCAATGGTGACCTCTCAAACCCATTTGTATAAGAACGGGGTTTGACACAGGGATGCCTGACCTCGCCCCTCTTCACCCTATTTATAGAACCCCTGAGTCAATGGATTAGACAGAATAACCACATTAAAGAGATGGAAATGGAGGGAGGAGAGAAGATAGATGAGATTTCAGTTTAAAGGATGGGCAACAAGAGGCCTCTCAGCCTTCTGTACTTTAGTACACAAGGGGGCACTTCAAAGCTTTCAAGTACGGTACTAAGAGAGAGCCAAGGATTAGAATGTCAAGATTCCCATTAATATCTCAAAATATGTCACCAATTTGATGAAATCATAAAGGTGGAGGACTCGGAGACTATAGAACATGGCATATTCAAATATTAATATCTGCTTATAAATCAGAAACATGCAGCAAAACTATCTCCAGGCTATACAATGGCTATACAAAGTCCAAATCTGAAAATACACTATACTGTATATAGAAGGAGAAATAGGAAAGGGAGGGTAACATGGTCATTTCTGTGGATGAGTGGGAAACCCTATGCCAATTACAATGGAAATCAACAAGCTATTTGACTTGTAGGGAATTTGGATGGAAAAATATTATGCAGTTCTTTATTGCTCTACAGAAAAGACATCTGGGTAATGGAATGGCGTGTTGGAGATTATGCGGGCCTAAAGAAGCAAACCATTACCACATATTTTAGGAATGCCCTAAACTTGTCCCATACTGGCAGGATGTGCATAAACGCATGGTAGACGTATTTAGTGTTGATGTCCCATTCAGAGGTGAGGCCCTGTATTTAGGGAACATTACATTTGATCTCAGGGACGCTTTAGACAAACACTTGATTGGGATACTTCTAGTAGCAAGTAAGAAAGCCCTCACTAGAAAATGGTTACAACCGGAGGCACCCATGTTCAATGATTGGATAGATGTGATTCCCACGGGAGGCCAGTATAAAAAATTTAAAAAATAAAATAAATATATATATATATATACAAAAAATGTATGCACTCACTAACTGCAAGTCGCTCTGGATAAGAGTGTCTGCTAAATGACTAAAAATGTGATACATGAGGTCTTTGTGATGGAAAGACTGACCTTTTCTCTGAGAAAATACATTCATAAAGATTTGGTTGAAATGAGTATATAACACCGTTAAGATCTGATTTGGTTTAATGGTCAAAGTGGAAAAAATGAACATCCCCCTGTTCAACTGTTAATAGTTACTGTAAGAAGAAAAAAACGAGAATAATAAAATCATGGGGATATGCAGAATTATTAAGACCTTTGATCTATTTCACACACTGAATTTCTGAGACTCACTGAATGCCTTAACTTTAGTTTTTCAAAAAAACATTTGTCCTCTTTTCTTTTATACTTTCTATTGTTGACATCTATGTACATTCCATGTATGGACTTAGTGGTGTGGCGTGTCCCTGAGGGATGCGTTGCATGAATAGACTTGCTTCTGGACTATTGGCAAACTATGAATTGGTGTAAGAGAAGTCTCAATAACAATGCAAAAATGTAATGCGTGTCTGAACGGGAAGAGTGTTAGGTCTACTCACCATCGCGGTTGGACAGCAGCTGCACCAGGCCGTTGAGACAGGTGTCCCTCACCTCCCCAATGTTGGTGGCACAGCGGCCGATGGCCTGGATGGTAGCAGCCACAAAATCTTTATCATTGCTTTTAATGTACGTCTGCCAGAGAGAAAACATGGAGTGAAGTTAAGCCACTGTAGGCAGACCTGTACTGTACCTCCATGCACCCCTTAGTGACAAATGTATCCAAATACACAGGAAAGCAAAACAAATGATCCTCCTTATCACAAATGGCAGTCAAGCTAACCTGGAAACGGTGACAGAAGTCTTATCCATTTTACTGTACCTGAAACTCTCTCAGGATGGTGGATATGTTTGTCTCGTTGGCCAAATTGGTCAAAACCTCCAGCTGTCAAAACAATCAAGACTATGATTAAAGTTCTGAAATGTCAACTTGTCGCAGCATACTGTAACATGAAAGGAATGCATGTCAATGTGAGAGGTGTTTGGTCACCTTGAGGACTTTAATCTGGGTTGGGTCTGTGGAGCGGATGTAGAAACTCTTCAGATATGGCTCAAACATCCCCTGGGAAACACAGAGACAAATAACAGGTATCATTTTAGATTGTGCTGCAGACCCCATGCAGTACCTCTGAGGCGCCAAACAAATCAGCCCCTAAACAATCTTGAATCCATTTGACCATTCAATACAGCCCCCTTTTGCACCCTTTGGAGATATTGTTGGAGTTATGACTCACCCTTCTCTTGATGGACATCGTTGCCACATTCTGAAGGACGACATATTGCACTTCACTACATGGGGATAGAGAGGAGGTGGGGGGGGGGGGGGGGGGGGGGGGGGGGGGGGCAGGAAGAGTGAGAGAGAACATGAATATAATTAATTGCATGCAGCTGCCTCTCCACACACACACACACACACTATGAGATGTAGCTGTTGTCACGTCACACAGTGACAATACTGAAGTCATCCCTGGGCAGATGGATGTAGCCTGTTCTCTGAGCAATTTCATGGTGAAATTCCCTCGTTGCTGACTGATGACCTCATCACTGTGCACGCAGCTCCACAACACCATAAATAAACTAAAGAGCAGGGGTTAGACAGACAGGATGAGACACAGCAATTTCCTTGCTTTTTTGACATTGTTTACTGTTTGTGCCTGTTCTTCTCTATGGTCCCATTTATGTGGACTCTAGTGGCGCAGTGGTCTAAGGCACTGCATCGCAGTGCTAGCTGTGCCACTAGAGATCCTGGTTAGAATCCAGGCTCTGTCGTAGCCGGCCGCGACCGGGAGACCCATGGGGCGGCGCACAATTGGCCCAGCGTCGTCTAGGGTAGGGGAGGGAATGGCCGGCAGGGGATGTAGCTCAGTTCGTAGAGCATGGCGTTTGCAACGCCAGGGTTGTGGGTTCGATTCCCACGGGGGGTATAAAAATAAAATAAAAAAGATAAAAATAACATACAAAAAAAAAAAAAAAAAATGTATGCACTAAGAGCGTCTGCTAAATGACAAAAAAATGTAATTTTTTTTTTATTAGAGTTATATTACATCTGAGAATGAGAATATTATTTAAAGGAATAGGCTATTGTGACACCCTGCAATTGAAATTATAATAATACTCAAACACATTCAAACAATATAAAAACTCTGATGTACAGGTGTAGGATCTTAATTTGATCACCCTGTCGTGTGATTATTTTCCTGCGCTGCAGGAAATGCAAACTTGTAGTGTATTCAAGGTTTAAAAAGGCTTCTAAAGTTAGCGATTTCCACCTTAAAATGTCAGAATTGATTTGCTCTAACAAAAAATGTATCAACCCCTGCAATAATGTCCATTAATTATTATCCACATAATAATTCCCATTTCCTGTTGCTGCAGGATTATTTTGCTGCTGTGAGAAACTTGTCAAATTAAGACCCTACATCTGTAAATTAACGAGACTAATATAACCATAGAAGTTATGACAATGTAGTTGATAAGAGAATATTCAAATTCTATAAGAAATTTAGAACAGGGTGTTGAGTTTCTCTAATGGAAAGAGAGCACTGTCTCACGTCAGATAGCATGACAACTCTGTACGGAGTATAGATAGTTCATGGCAACGCGTCGGTTACAATGACTAAATCTCTGGGAAGACAATGGGAAAGACAGGTGACACTGACCTGTGACTCCTCATGAGGCGCACCAGAGCCTTGGCAATGACGCCTACCTCCGCTTTGGGTGCCAGGTGGAAATATAGCTGAGCCACAGCCATCACCACCTAGAGAGAAGAGAGAAGGAGGAAGAGAGAAAGAATAATTAGTAGTAGTAGCAGTAGTAGTAGTAGTAGTAGTAGTAGTAGTAGTAGTAGTAGTAGTAGAAGTCGTAGGAGTAGTAATAGTAGTATTATACTCACTGCTGCGTTTCGGCTCTGCAGTAGGGGCTTGGTATTCCTCAGTAGTAGCCGGTGGTCTGGGTCCATGACGTAAGGCTTCCTCTTGACAATGGCAGTCGCCTCAGTCTTCTTCTTCTCCTTCTCCTCGTCTTCCTCATCTTCGGTGTCATCATCATTATCAGAGCCATAGAAGGCGTTCTCTCCACCACCCTCCTCCAACAGGGATTCCTATAGAGAGAGGGAGGGATGAGTGGAGTAACATAGACACACACACACACACGCACGCACGCACACAACCACGAAGACACAGTATGTGGGGATCTACTGTACTCACGTTCATGTTGGGGTTGAGGAACTGCGTCCGGGCGTAGCGCGTGAGCATGTTGATGATGACCACCTGACCCCACTCCTCCACGTCGATCAGCAGGTTACACAGCTTACGGTAGTTCTTATGGATCAGGTCTATGCGCTCAGGACACACCTCCTCAAAGGCCATGACAACACTACCTGCCACTAGCTGCAGGCACAGTCAGAGGGAGAGAAATTCTGTAAGTCCTGTAAATACCGTAAGCTCAGAAAACGCCCATATGTTTACTTTGGCAGAGGCATGTAAGTATCATTTTCACACTTAACACAACCTGATACGGTACCATTCACCCAAGCCTGTAATGCCACCTATAGTCCAAAGCAGAACATGGATTTACCTGAGCTTATGTTTTCAGTCATAGTTTCCCTTGTAAAGGGCATACAGGGTTGGCTAATGGAAAATATTTCACCTACCGTGGTTTTATCAGCCAGGAGCTTCTCAATGACCTCAATCAGACAGTCCTTCTGCTCTGGGTCCAAGCTGAGAGGAGACAGGAGACATGTGTCAGGAAGACAAGGAGCTGGATTCTCTCTCTCTTTCTTTTCTCTCTTTCTGTCTATATCTCTTTCTCTCTCGTACAGACACAGACCCCCCTCCCTGTTATACCTGTAGAGTTTGGGGATGGCGTGAGCGGCCGTCTTCCTCACATAGGGGGACATGTCGGAGGCAGCCTCTTTGATGGCCAGCATCATGATAGGAACGATGATGGTGACTCTGATGCTGGAGAGCACACGCAGAGCACTGGCCCGTATCAACTGGTTAGGGTCCTAGAAAGAGACAGAGAGAGACAGAGACAGCGCTTCATGGGTCTCCCGGTCACGGCCGGCTGTGACGCAGCCCGGGATCGAACCCAGGTCTGTAGTGATGCCTCAAGCACCTCACTTGGAAGGTCCACATATGGCTATTCTTTACTGCTGGGAGGCTCTGTAGGTCCAGTGTGGATTCAGTGAAGTGTCACAAATAGCATGACCATCAACCATGGAGAAACCTACTGATATGCTACATGTGTCAAGCCTCAAACTTTTTGGACCTAGTTGTGTTGTTGTTGCTGCCTTACATGTGGCAGCGAGGATAAAGTGACAAAAAACTGAGAACTCTAATCTCAGAATTAACTATCGATTGGCTATTAATCTGTGAGAGAGATTTTATTAACCTCCGCTAGTATCTCCTCTCAGCTAGGAGAGCATGTGAAACAGATGGTTATTGTAAAATGGCTGGAGAGAAATCCCCTGCTCCTGCTGTGTGTTTGTGAAGCAAAAATAAATACATCTTACGACTTTGATATTAGAACTATCTTCGTCTCGTCATAACAACACCATAGGATTTCTGACATCATGTCGTGTGTTCCCAACTTAATGGACCACCTTTACTCCAGAGGAGTAGATAGAAGTTGCCACTGACCACAGGTCTCGGGACAGATATCTTTGTCTCCCTCCAATGGTTAAGGTTAGGATCAGGGGTAGGGTATCTAATCCTAGATCTGTGGTTATGGGCAAGGTGACTGACCTTCAGGCCTCTCTGAAAGGTTGAGATGGACAGCAGAGCCAGATCCTGCTGCTCCTCAGCATAGCGCACCAGGTACACATAGACCAGCTTCTTCACCTGAGATAGTGAAGAGAGAGGGGAAGAGGAGAGAGAGAGGAGAGAGAGGAGAGAGAGGGGAAGAGGAGGAGAGTGAGGAGAGAGAGGAGAGAGAGGGGGGGAGGAGAGCGAGAGGAGAGAGAGAGGAGAGAGGAGAGAGAGCGGGAAGTGAGAGAGAAGAGGAGGGGAGAGAGGAAGAGAGAGCGGGGAAGAGGAGAGAGAGGGGAAGAGGAGGAGAGGGAAGAGGAGAAGGGGAGGGGAGAGGGGAGAGGGGAAGAGAGGGGAGAGAGAGGGGAAGAGGAGAGAGAGGGGAAGAGGAGAGAGAGGGGAAGAGAGAGAGAGGGAAGAGGAGAGAGGGTGAAGAGGAAGAGAGGGAAGGGAAGGGAGGGAAGAGAGGGAAGAGGAGAGAGAGGAGAGAGATGAGAGGAGAGAGAGAGAGAGGAGAGAGGGGGGGAGAGGAGAGGGAGAGAGGAGAGAGGGGAAGAGGGGAGGAGAGAGGGGGGGGGGGGAGACATGACAGTACAACACACCTTTGGATATATCTCCCAAAACCTGCCAATTATCAGTCTACAATGCTTCTATTAATTCATTGGCAGTCTATAAGCAAAACCAACACCTTAATATTTGCCTCGCATCCACACTTCGTTTCACATGAAACAGAGCAACATTCAGTCTAGATGCAAGACAACCTAAACATAGCCAAGCCTTCAATTACTCTTGTGCCTCTATATTGTTTGCTTCATTGTCTGCTTGAGATAATTAACTAAATGAAAATAACGGGCAATTTCTCCAATGTAGGTATTAACAGTTCGATATATAGGCCTATGCACGGCTCAAAGATCCAAAAAGTAACACTCGGGCCAGACAATACCCCCCATAAAAATGTATTGAAGCGATCAATGTCTAATGTATATGTGACCTCAACTTCATGCTACGGTATATGTAGGATGGCTGGCTGGCTCCAAGACTTACCTCAATGTTCTTGCAGGCCACATTCTTCACCACGGCTGGGAAGAGGTCTGAGGCATTCTTCCCTCTGGCGATCATCTGGAGATCACAAACATAGTACAGAATGGTCACACACTGGACTGCATTGTCAAAACCGTCAATTTAGCCGTATGTTATTTGATTAGTGAGAAACTATGAACACTCAAATGCATAGCAGGAGACAGTAGCCTGAATCTCAAATGACAGTGTGGGCTTTAAAGATATCATATCCGTATGGAATGGAGTCAAACATATGGTTTGATATGGTTAAATGTATTCCGTTCTAGACATTACAATGAGCCCGTCCTCCTATAGCTTCTCCCACCAGCCTCCACTGTAGTACATTTTCTGCTGTTCTATCGTGTATGCAATGATGTTGGAGAGAAAAAAAACAGTGTTTGTTGTTTGCAATAACTCTGTTGTTGTGATATCCCAAACTGACATGGCAGTTTCAGCAATTAAGGATTCCAGCTTTAAAGGTAAACCCAGCAATATGACATCATCATACACAGCCACTTCCTGTTTGAAACATTAAAGGGGAATAACGGCACATTTAGAAAATCTGTCTATGTCCCTAAACCCTTCTGACTCCTAGTTAGACTGTCTGTCAAAGTGCGCACCTCTCTCACTCAGGGAAAGCGAGGTAGAGCTAGAGCATTCTGTACGTAAATCCGAGACACTCCATTTAGTATGATATGTTACGTTTTGTATGGTTTCTATTAATTAGTGGATGACCATCACCCATTTTGTATGATATGTTACGAATTACAATTCATATTAGCGAGGCTAGGGGTTAGGGTTAAGGTTAGGGTTAAGTTTAGGAGTTAGGTTAAAGGGTTAAGGTTAGGGTTAGCTAAAAGGGTTAAGGTTAGGTGAAGGATTAAGGTTAGGGGAAGGGTTAGCTAACATGGTAAGTAGTCGCAATGTAACTAAAAAATAGTAAGTAGTTGAAAAGTTGCTAATTAGCTAAAATGGTGAAGTTGTCCGTGATGAAATTCGAACTCGCAACGAGTTGCTAGACGTTCACATTATACTCCAATTTATCCACCCCGACCAACCACCCTCCTTTTGTTTTTGCCTTAAGTAATCATCTGTCTTATGTAACCATACCAAACGTAACATATCCCACTAAATGGAGTTTCTCAGAATTACGTACAGAATAATACTAATTGCTCTGAGACCAGGTCGTCACAGGGTTAATACAGCCCTCCACACACTGCAGCACTAGATATATCTTTGCATAACGCAAATCTACGAAAAATATAAACGTTCTGTCACCGCAAAAATACTAAATTGGGAAGGTCCAATCGATTGTGAGATATGGCATATACATTTTAAGTGATACATTTGGGTCACGGGTTCACAATTTGACCTTTTCTGAGATCTCTGCCCATCAAGTGGCGCAGTGGTCTAAGGCACTGCATCGCAGTGCTAGCTGTGCCACTAGAGATCCTGGTTCGAATCCAGGCTCTGTCGTAGCCGGCCGCGACCGGGAGACCCATGGGGCGGCGCACAATTGGCCCAGCGTCGTCTAGGGTAGGGGAGGGAATGGCCGGCATGGATGTAGCTCAGTTGGTAGAGCATGGCGTTTGCAACGCCAGGGTTGTGGGTTCGATTCCCACGGGGGTATGAAAAATTAAAAAAATAATGTATGCACTCACTAACTGTAAGTCGCTCTGGATAAGAGGGTCTGCTAAATGACTAAAATGTAAATGTAAAAAATCAAGGAGGAAAAAGCAACCAGTTTATGCAACAAGACACACAGGAGAGGGCTGCTAATAAAACACATCACACCGGCAGTTTTCAGAATCGCCTACATCAGAATTTAGCACATCACCCAACCCAACACAACACGCCTTTTAGCCTACTATATTGTCAGAAGCATCATCAGACCTCGGTAGTAGCCTATTTCATCTCTCTTTCAATGCTCTGGAAACCAAGCAGAAAATCCTGTGCTCTAAAGATGGCATCATAGCCACACAAATACATTAGAAGATAATTGTTGATTTGATCAGAAACACTGTGCTCACAACATTTATCTCCTAAATGATGTCGCTGTGGAACCCAGCGATCCAAATGTATTAAATAAAATGTATATGCCATATCTCACAAACGATTGGACTTCCCCAATTTAGTATTTTAGTTGTGACAGAACGTTTATATTTGTAATAGATTTGCGTTATTCCAGAAAGTTCTATCTAGCACTGCAGTGAGTGGGGGGCTGTATAACCCTGTGACGTAGCTCTCGATCTAGCTCTACCTCACGCTCCCTGAGTGAAAGATGTGCACACTTTGACAGACAGTCTAACAATGAGTCAGAGGTTTCAGAACAAAGACACATTTTCGAAATTTGCCGTTATTCCCCTTTAAGCCCACATTGGGCTGAGCCAATTAGTAGTATTCTTATTAGATATGAAGTTTGTAATTGTTGATGTCAGCATAAAAATATAATGAAATAAACAATGTTTAAATTGTTACAGTTTACTCTCTGTTAGTCAGCAACTCTGCAAACATTCTTGGCTGTGCATCAGCTCATGCTTTTTATTGTTGATGTCTGTAATAGGAAGTTGCCCTGCTGTGTATGATGATGTCATATCGTTGAATCTACCTTTAAAGGGGCAGTGCAGTCAAAAACTTGATTTTTTTCAGATTTTTTATGGTATTTCCACACTATGGAGGTTGAAATAACACTGAAATTGTGAAAATGATGATAATGCCCTTTTAGTGTAAGAGCTAAAAAAAATAATTACACCTGGAATTTCAGCCTGTTCAGGTGGGATGGAGACCCACAGCATGACATCACATATTTTATTTGCATATGTATCCTCCTACTTTGAAGGGGTAAGCGGGGTAGGCTCTAGAGTCTAGACCAGGGTGTCAAACTCATTTTGCCCTGGGGGCCACATTTGGTCTTCAACGAGGTCCGGAGGGCTGCACTGAAAATTAGTTATATTTCCTCGCCTTCAACATTTACTACAAATAGTCCTCTATCCATCATTTTGGGAATTTTCGATGCTCCCTGGCAGTTGGTGATTATTAGAGAGTTGGACACAGTCAAGAAACGGTATGAATAGAGGTCCATTAACATTTCTACACAGTTTCAATTTGGTTGTATTAATTTGAAAGCTGGATCCGGCCCGTGGGTCGTATGTTTGACACCCCTGGTCTAGACAATCCTATCCGCCAATCAGGGCTGTGTATATAAATATATATATAAGGAGGCTAAGCGAAATGAAAAAATATATACAGTGGGGGAAAAAAGTATTTAGTCAGCCACCAATTGTGCAAGTTCTCCCACTTAAAAAGATGAGAGAGGCCTGTAATTTTAATCATAGGTACACGTCAACGATGACAGACAAAATGAGGAAAAAAAATCCAGAAAATCACATTGTAGGATTTTTTATGAATTTATTTGCAAATTATGGTGGAAAATAAGTATTTGGTCAATAACAAAAGTTTCTCAATATTTTGTTATATACCCTTTGTTGGCAATGACACAGGTCAAACGTTTTCTGTAAGTCTTCACAAGGTTTTCACACACTGTTGCTGGTATTTTGGCCCATTCCTCCATGCATATCTCCTCTAGAGCAGTGATGTTTTGGGGCTGTCGCTGGGCAACACGGACTTTCAACTCCCTCCAAAGATTTTCTATGGGGTTGAGATCTGGAGACTGGCTAGGCCACTCCAGGACCTTGAAATGCTTCTTACGAAGCCACTCCTTCGTTGCCCGGGCGGTGTGTTTGGGATCATTGTCATGCTGAAAGACCCAGCCACGTTTCATCTTCAATGCCCTTGCTGATGGAAGGAGGTTTTCACTCAAAATCTCACGATACATGGCCCCATTCATTCTTTCCTTTACACGGATCAGTCGTCCTGGTCCCTTTGCAGAAAAACAGCCCCAAAGCATGATGTTTCCACCCCCATGCTTCACAGTAGGTATGGTGTTCTTTGGATGCAACTCAGCATTCTTTGTCCTCCAAACACGACGAGTTTAGTTTTTACCAAAAAGTTCTATTTTGGTTTCATCTAACCATATGACATTCTCCCAATCCTCTTCTGGATCATCCAAATGCACTCTAGCAAACTTCAGACGGGCCTGGACATGTACTGGCTTAAGCAGGGGGACATGTCTGGCACTGCAGGATTTGAGTCCCTGGCGGCGTAGTGTGTTACTGATGGTAGGCTTTGTTACTTTGGTCCCAGCTCTCTGCAGGTCATTCACTAGGTCCCCCTGTGTGGTTCTGGGATTTTTGCTCACCGTTCTTGTGATCATTTTGACCCCACGGGGTGAGATCTTGCGTGGAGCCTCAGATCGAGGGAGATTATCAGTGGTCTTGTATGTCTTCCATTTCCTAATAATTGCTCCCACAGTTGATTTCTTCAAACCAAGCTGCTTACCTATTGCAGATTCAGTCTTCCCAGCCTGGTGCAGGTCTACAATTTTGTTTCTGGTGTCCTTTGACAGCTCTTTGGTCTTGGCCATAGTGGAGTTTGGAGTGTGACTGTTTGAGGTTGTGGACAGGTGTATTTTATACTGATAACAAGTTCAAACAGGTGCCATTAATACAGGTAATGAGTGGAGGACAGAGGAGCCTCTTAAAGAAGAAGTTACAGGTCTGTGAGAGCCAGAAATCTTGCTTGTTTGTAGGTGACCAAATACTTATTTTCCACCATAATTTGCAAATAAATTCATTAAAAATCCTACAATGTGATTTCTCAATTTGTCTGTCATAGTTGACGTGTACCTACGATGAAAATTACATGCCTCTCTCATCTTTTTAAGTGGGAGAACTTGCACAATTGGTGGCTGACTAAATACTTTTTTCCCCCACTGTATTTGGGAGTTATTTTCATCAAATAAACACACCCAGTGGTTTATTAGACATACAGTGATGATAAAAAATATAAAAAAAATAAAGACTGCATGGGGGTTTTAAAAGATGTTAACCAATTCTCCTATACTGTCATCAAAGTAGAACATGAAACCTTATCCTTTGCGTAACAGTACTGGTGGCGGCAACCTGCATTCGCAGTTGATCAGACTTATATTTGGCCACAAACTTACTCGGCCTAGCAAAATTTTTCCCTCCACCTCTCTAACGCTTCTCAGATATAAATTATGCAGTGATGGCTGCTCTGCTTCAGTAGTAAGAAACTGACACCGATAATGAATATTCTCTCGCTTTCTCTTACAGCTGTCGTCTTTAATGGGACGCCTGGGTTCAGTCTTAGGAATGGCAGATATTCAACTTCAATCCCTCAGGCTATTCTTGTTATGAGGAGTACGCCCTCTTCGATTGCAAGCACATTTTCGACAGTAGCAGAAAATGTACTCCAGAAAATAAACTGTTCTGCCTTTACAATTACATAATTAATATCATGAATATTTTAAAGCAACCGTATTCATAATAGATGTCGATTGGAAAATGCAAAGGGTGCCACTGACGTATGGGCTAATTGGGACAGTCGGGAGGGTAACTCAGACAACGAGTTAGAAGACTAACACCTACTGATGGTTGTTGAAGCTAGGACTAAGACAATTTATCAACCACCAGAAGGATAGAAGATATAGATGGATAGAAGATAAATGCCATCTATGATTTCCAAAATATTGTGGGCTATGATGCTACTTTGAGCCTTGAGGGCCGCAATGTGTATTTACAGAAATCAGAATTACTCAAAGAGTAAGATCTGAAACTTTACCTTGGACATGGGGTGGAAATTTCTAAATTACAGCATTAGCTCTGAAAGCAGATTTGAAAGTAAGGGGGGGGGGGGGGGGAGAGAGAGAGCGAGAGAGAGAGAGAGAGAGAGAGAGAGAGAGAGAGAGAGAGAGAGAGAGAGAGAGAGAGAGAGAGAGAAAGAATCTTGAAAGTATTTTCCAAAGATTCCTCATGTGCTTGATTCCTCGCCTCCTCCTGAGTAATCAAGGAAAGACTTCTGAGATTCGCCCAGTGAGTTTTTTTTAGAAGATGGTGGTGGTTGACAGTGGAGATGATGACAGCAGTACTCACAGCCACAATCCTCTTCATAGCTTCCAGCTTCAGGGAGTCTTTGTTGCTGTCCAGCATCTCCTTCAAGTCATCATGTCTGTGGGAAGAAGAAGGAAGAGTCTTCAATTGCTAAAGTTATCCAGACTAGCCACTTTCTGGTGTAAAGGACACGTGTGAGGAGTAACCTTGTCTGAGACCTGAAGACTCACTTTAGCTCCCTGAGCTTATTCCTAAGGCTTTAGCTCAGCAGGCTAACACAGTTTGCGGAGTGCCGATGACCCCGTTTTCACACCCAGTTGATCACAGTAACAGACATCTATGTCTGTGGTTGAGAGCAACTTCTACCTCGAGCATGTAACCACGGCAGCTGATGGGTAACGAGATACTTCCGGGTCCTGTTCAGTAGGCACGAAACCATCTGAATTTGTTCAATAAGAAGCACTCATCTTTGTTTTCCGTTTTGAAATAGATGTCGGAAAAACAGGACGAGGGACATGTCAAAATCCAGAGTTTTTGCACTTTAGCAAGTCTTTATTCATATCAAAATGTATTGAACTTTCCATGTGGTCTATTTTAAAGGGTACTTCATTTAATATAACAGGCTTTTAAAATTCAATATTGGTGCACAATTCTTACTTTAAAAAATCTAAGGGACATAAAATGTACTCTATTCTTAGTACGATCCATAAGACGAGATTTGGAAGGATGGCCACGAAAGACTATAGTTGACATGCTACATAAATATTGCAATGTAGGCTTGATCGAATAGAGCCATGAGTCTTACAATATTAAACTAACTCTGAAATCTTTCAAGCAGCAATCCCAACCTATTTGTGACACTGTACCCTGAGTTGCGAAGCATGTTATTGCAGTGGCTTGACTCATTCACTCACCATGGCTCTACTCTGTATTGTGGCCGCTTTGTTATTGTTTCAACTGCGGATTGCCCCTTTAAGGCTGTCCCGAGAGACTACCTGTTCAGTAAAGCCACAAAGCCAGTCCCAGTGACAGCACAATGGTCACATTTAATCCCATGCTATGGAGTATTTGAAGATATGAAACAGTATATCAATGACAATTTGGGTAAATGGTTTATTCAGAATATAGAAAAAAAGCTAGACTATATTACCTCATTGTAATTATATTACCTCACTACCTCATTGTTACTATAAGTGCCTATATAACCTCCAGTCTAGAGGTACTGTATACTCAGCATATAGTTAAGTGATTAGTTTGGGTTGGTCATCATCTCTGATCATTACCAGTGTGCCCCCCCCCCCCTCCACCCTAGTGTAAGGTAGGGGGGCAATAAAGCAATAAATCATAAACACGACTGTCCGTAAGGAAAGCATGGAAGACAGTGGTTTTAACTTGGTTACTAAATGTAATCCTATGGTGAGCTAAATATGGGAGAAACGTGGGTAGAATGCAGAGGGACAACACGAGACCAAGCAACTCACAATCTAATTCCCCCTCCTTCAAAGTCTACATGGATATATTCACTAACTGTTAAATACTAATCTGAATTAAGCCTGAATAGTGCAAAAATAGGCATCAACACGATGGCACGCAAAAATGCTCCTGCTCCCGCACACACACGTGCACACGCATACAGACACAGACACACGCACGCACGCACACACACACACACACACACACACACACACACACACACACACACACACACACACACACACACACACAAACACAAACAGAGCTCTCCTGGAGCCCGTTATTCACACTTGGCTGGGGGCGATGTCCAAACAGGCCCTGAGAGACAGTCCAACACCACAGCACAACACTCAATAGTTTATGTGAAAGACAAAACACACACTGTGTTTCTATGGCAACAGTCATGAGTTGATCAATGGAGTCGTTAGTAAGATCCCCCGGTTAAATAATTTCACATAAGAGATAGGACATGCAGGCAAAGTGTGAATTATACTGTGACATTCAGGGGGTGTAAAATTTTATCAAGGGACTTCCTATTTGCGCGTGCATTTTTTTGTTTGTTATGGGCCTAATAGTAAAGACATGTATTTAAACGGTAAACATGTATTACCTTTGATGTGGCATTAACACAACCAGTCATGATGTTCTCATTTGATTGTCAAACAAATCATTTAAAAAAGTAGGCTACCTGCGCACATTTGTCCACTCCAAAATAATTCCAGCATCCAAACAGTGCACTGTGCACCCGCCATTTGATCAATGAAAAGAGACATCTGTTACAAAACACCAAAAGGTGTAATGACATTCATCGACTGTCATTAGGCCTACACTCTTGTAGCCTGAATTCATTGATGCGTTTTGCTGACAAATGTACCTTTTTTGTTAAAAGAAAAATTGTGACACCTGGAAAGGGGTTGAAATACTGGATTCAAGTACAGCTTTGTCTGTCCCGAGCTCATCCGTGCAGAAAACTGTGAGGGCCCAGTTGAAACAATGTTGCAAGTTCGCTAGCGGGCTGGACCCAGTCGACACAATGTTGCAAGTTTGCTAGCGGGCAGGACCCAGTGGACACAATGTTGCAAGTTTGCTTGCGAAAGCTCAACCCACTGGGCGCACACTGGTTGAATAAACATTGTTTCTACGTCATTTCAAATGAAATTACGTTAAACCAACGTGGAATACACATTGAATTGATGTATGTGCCCAGTGGGAAGACAGAGAGAGAGTGGCAGACAGGAGATGAATGCGATTGAAAAATGTATGCACTCACTAACTGTAAGTCGCTCTGGATAAGAGCGTCTGCTAAATGACTAAACTGTAAAATGTAATTGAAAGAACCTAAACCAACTGTGTCACTGGGTTAAACCATGACAGAGATGTGGGGGTGTTTGTTTAATTTGGAATAAGCTTTTATTTTCATATTTGCCACTGTAGAATAGCAGTACAAAATTGCATTTTAAACAACAAGGAGAATGGTTAGAGACTAAAGTTTGACTAAAGTTTGAGTTTTGTTGCATTTAGGGGAGCTCATGATCCCCCGTAATTTGTGCACTGTGTGCAGGTTTGCCCCATGGTGAAAGAGTTATAACACTTTACAACCATAACTGATTTGGCATTGACCATGCCCTGTTTAAAAGCTGCCTATATATATTACTGGAAAAAGAGCACGGATGCCTGCTCATTTGCTGATAGTCTCAACAGTGTACTCTACAGACACTTTATGGTAACTTACTGGCAGCCAGTTCCCTGTATGTTACCGTTAAAGAAGGTACCGTATGTTACCGTACAGTATTTTACGGTATCCAATACTGTTACTGTAACTGATTTACCGTACCAATAATGCTACTGTAGTCGTTTTACGTTAACAAATACTCTTACCGTAATCTTTGGTATCGTTGTTTTAAGGTAACTTACAGGCAACCGGAACATCACTCTCACTAACGGGTACAACAAATGTAGCCTCTTACAAGGCACACCTAAAAACATGTTAATGAGCCAGAAACAACAATATCATGCACCCACTAGTGGTCAAAACGTTTTTGGCGCTCCAAAAATACGGTAGGGTACTGTATTCTGTGGGGTGGAATTACAGTACCATTCGAAATAACGCACATTTTTACAGTAATGTACTGTTAAACCAAAGTTCATTTAGAATTTACGGTATCATTTACCAGTTACGCCTAAAATCATCCAGAGTGCATTGCGACTTATGTCAATTTACTGTAAATGCTTGTCATTGTTCATTCTATCTGTTTGTAGGCAGTCCCCTGCCCCTGTAATATGTTTGGATGTACTGTACCTTCCTTTCTAACTGAAAGCAATACCTCATCATTGGAAAGACAAGATGGGAGGAGTCCATAACCTGCGGTGCCCCACAGGGTTCAGTGCTAGGACCCATTCTCTTAATCTATACATGCTGTACTGTAGCAGTACCTTCTCAATATCGCACCTACAGTCCTATGTGGTAAAAGCTTACAACGATACACCCATGCATAAAGAAAGCCATTGGAAGAAAAACTCTACTCTAATTCTATCCAAAAAGAGGATGATATCACATCGATACATTTATAGTCGGTCCGGGCCAGCCTGAAACGGCTCTGTAAAATTCCTAATATGTAGCTATTTGATCTGCGTCGTCTTAATGGGTTCATGGGCCATTTGGGAAGCAAAGAAGCAAAGACCTTCGCTCCATCCCAAATCGCAACCTATTCCCTATGCACTACCTTTGACCAGAGCCCTATGGGCCCTGGTCAAAGGTAGCACACTAAATAGGGAATATATGGTGCCACTTGGGACGCACCTCTTCTCTAAATAGCAGCCCCATTTGCTGAGAGCCCGCTGAATGTGAAAGGAGATGGGTTTTTCATTGGGCCAGGGTGAGGGCGATTTGTTCATCTGTCATCCATGCGAGTTGCAATGGGGACAGACTAGCTGCAACACGTGTGGGCTTAGAGTCATGCAGAGGGGATCCAAAGTGACATTTTCTCTGCCCCCTCACCTCCCTACACACACACGCACACACACGAACACACACACACACACACACACACACACACAATATCTTCCAAATTGGTTTGATTATATACAACACAGAGATTCTCTACAAGTCCTATGAGAACAGGAACAATTGATCATTTTTAACCATGGCCTGATTATCTTACCTGTTTGGCAGAAACTCATGAGATGACATATTCCAGTAAACTACCCTATGTATAAGTAATCTCGTCCCCCCAGCCGGCTCTCTCTCTGTTGAACCAATTGAGCCTGGGGACAAGGTCAATGTATAAGCCATTTCTGATCAATAGACTACTGCATGGCATTCATACAAACAAAACTCTGACCTAACATGTAGTTCGTTTGAAGAGCACTTTGCATTCTTCCAGTAATAATGCTCAAGGCCATTCCCATTTTGCAGCATGAGTTTGAATGACCATATTTGACCATATTGCTGTTTCCGCTTCTCTGTTAATTATAATAATTACTGGGATGTTAGGATGCAAGCCTTCAACACTCAAGCACATTCAAATTCATCAGCATTGCAATGCAATGTGGTGTAGGACACTGTACCAATGTTACTTAAAGCTGTAACTTTCTAGTAAATCTGCTCTATGTGCGCTATTTCTATGCCTCCCTTTCTTAAACTTGCACAGCGTAACTGTGTGTACATGTGTCTTTGGAGTTCCCTCTGGCAAGAATGCAGTATTTGTTCTAGATTTGAACACGATATCCCAGAAACCCCAGCTCACATTGGATGACTTAGCATCAGCAGCCGCGCTGAGACTTTGTGGCTGTGTTATCTAGTGGAAACCCAGCGTGAAACCCAGCGTAAAACCCAGCGTAGTCGATTTGGACTTTGTGGCTGTGGTAATTGAAGATAACTCAATTCCATTTGAGCAACAATGTCTTAAGAAGAGGTACAAAAAATGTTATACATATTACAATATTCACGTCGTCAGCCATAAAGGTAGCTAACGTTAGCAATGTCAAGTTAGCTAGCTAGCTAACTTAGCTAGCTACATGGTTGACAATAGCTACCATGAATTTCCCTGCTTGGTACAAAATGGTAATATGACGATAACTTTAGCTAGTACATTAGTTATCACACTTGCGTAAAAAAAAAAAAACTGTACAATAAGGAATTTGGACTATTATAGCTTTGCAATCATAGAAAATAACCAGAATAATAGTCTGATGAATGTGTTTGTTTTTTATGACCTTGTTTTTTAATCTGCTTGCATTTTGTATTTATATTTTGATGTGTGTATTTTCTGTAATTTATGTAATTAGGGGGTCATCTGTAAAAGAGACCTTGGTCTCAGAATGGCTCCCTGATAAAATAAAGGTTAAATAAAATAAAAGTCCTTTGCCCTTCTCTGACTCCTATACTAGCTAGTCAGCAACATTACTGGGATTGCCCCTTGATTCTTGAGAGCAATGGCTATGAAGATGTGTATTTATTGTAGAAGTGTAAGTTTGACTATCATAACTCTGCATTCATGAAAAATAACCTTGACTTTGGCATGCATTCAATCCTTTGCCCTTCTGACTCATAGCTATACTAGCTAGCTAATAACATTACTGGGATGGCCCCTTGATTCTCGAGAGCTATGGCTATGAAGATGTGTATGGATTGTAGAAGTGTTATACTCGACTCTTCTGCACGAAAATCCTTATTGGTTATACCTAAAAGACCATGTAATGAACATTACAATACTAATAAGTGTTGTGTACATGTTTTTTCTGTAGGATTTCAGTTTTGAAGAGCCACAGACCGTCCAGGGGTACAGGCAGGGGTGCAAAAATAATTGGAAAGGAAGACCTTGAAAGGGCTGCCCGACTGCAAGAAGAGAGGCTGCCCGAGATGAATGTTAGTAAAAATATTTAACCTGTGGTACTGTTTACCCATTTCACAACATTATAATCATATTTTAGATTTTAGTCATTTAGCAGACGCTCTTATCCAGAGCGACTTACAGTTAGTGAGTTCATTCATTATTTTTGATACTGGTCCCCCGTGGGAATCGAACCCACAACCCTGGCGTTGCAAACGCCATGCTCTACCAACTGAGCTACATCCCTGCCGGCCTACCCTGAACGATGCTGGGCCAATTGTGCACCACCCCATGGGTCTCCCGGTCGCGGTTGGCTACGACAGAGCCTGGATACAAACCAGGATCTCTAGTGGCACAGCTAGCACTGCGATGCACAAGTATTGTTTCTCACACAAGTTTATTGTTGCCCACACAAACTTCCATTATTTATATGATTTATATGTTTGGTTGTAGGCCCACCTCTTTCAACACCAATTCTGAGTCCTCTGTAGGTTTTCACACTTCCCGGGAACCACCAAGTCTGACAACAGGGACAGCTCTGGTCCTTCGCAGCTCAAAGTGTGCTTACTGCACCCTGTATTGCATGGCGACGTCGCCTCGAAGTTGTAGCAGCTCAGCCGCTGTTGGTGGTGGCACTTCAGGGAATCTTGGGTCATCTGATCTCAGGATCATTCTCCTTGGTAGCCTCAATTGAGAGCCCAGTCTTCTCAACACTGCTCTCTGATGTTCTGGAATGTCGGTGTAGTCCTTTGCAGTTTTCAATGCGTAGAGCCGTAGACACTCACACCTAATTAAACTAATTGCATTCTAAATTGAAGATCATGATTAGTTGATTATTGGAGTCATGTTAGCTGGAGCTGGGGTAAAAGTGTGTCACCAATCAAGCCCCCGAGTACTGGAGTTGACCATCCCTGACCTAGATCATAGATAAAACTAGCTAGTTTTACAATGTGTTGTACAACAGCTGACTAAAGACGGGGCCTTCAGATCAAGAACACGAGATGTGCAGTTGAGAATATTTCCATGGTAACGGTGCCGCTGTGATGAAACTTTGAAACAAAAACTTGTCAGAAATGTCAGCAAGCCAGGCTAGCTATGTACAGAAAAATAGCTAGCTAGCTCTCTGCTTGGCTAGCTAACTAGCTAGCTAGCTGCTTAGCTGAACACAGAATGTTAGCGCACCCTTCTTTGAATGGCTAAATGGTTCCGTCTCGTTTGGCTAAAGTTGACATGTTGAATATTGAATACTCCAGCCAACGACATGAGACATTCTAAAACTAGACCGTTCAGATCAAACAAACCATTGCGTCGTGTCTCATCTTATGTATCTGAACTGGGCTTTGTGGCTATTCCGTGCCAGTACACTTGTGTGAACGGAAGTAGCTAGCTAGTCAATATCAGCGTGGTTTTCAGACCACAGACATCAGAAATGTAACACAAGGACAAGTAACGTTATACACATAAGGTAGCTAGTTACGACTAGCCAATGTCGCAGTGTGCTGACAAGCTATTAGCTGACGTAAGCTAGCTAGCTAATATGAACTATTGGACGTGTGGCTTGAAAACAATCAAAACAAGTAATCCAAAATATTACTGGCATACATATTTACAACTAAATAGTAAGATAGTAAGATATATTATCTAGCTAGCTATGACTTACCTTTTCAGCAGAAAAAAAAATCACATTCTGGGTCGGTTTTGAATCCCTTCAACTCCCAAAGTTCTCTTAGTTCTCTCGCTTTCCCTTTTTGACTGTCTGCTCTCCAGATGTCTCTGTTTCTTTGGCTTAGATGGAGGAGTAGTTGCTGCTGGGTTCTTCTCAGGCAGGCTAGGGGCTCACCATTGTTACTGTTGCATCACATTGGATGACCACTAGCGACTTATTGGAGGTTTTGAACATAAAACAATACAAAAAGTTACATATTGCAGCATTAAGTATTGTTTTTGCGTCTTTTACTTTCGGTTTAGTACACAAGCTTCAAACAGCTGAAAGTACAATATTTTTAGTTATGGAAAATATATTTTACAGCAGTTTAGATGGTACAATAATTCTCTACACAATGATTGCCTGTTTTGTCACATAAACTGAAATTAGGCGAACTACTAGAATTCTAGCTACCAGGAAATGGCGGAGCGATTTCTGCATATTGCACCTTTAATATGAAGCTCACTTCAATAGCTTCCCGTCATACAAGGGAGGCTGGACAGGGAAGTCCACAAAGTAAGATGGGCTTTTGTTACTGTTTATCAGCAGAGTGAACAATTCATGAATCCGTGGTTCAGTGGATGATCCTCAATCAATTATTCCATATGTGATTCTTCAAATTGAGAGACTGATACACTTTGATATACTATATTTTAAAGGCTTCAAGATATACACTAGTCCAAACAAGTTTAACCTGGAACTGTTAAAATGTGCAGCAGTCTTTTGATGATGAGCAGCAAGTATCTCTGATGAAATAATTTAATCAACTTTGTTCTCATATTCAGTCTGCTTATCATAATGTACTGCATCTGATTATTGCAAATGTCAATGTAAATTAGGGCTGTTACTAAACATAAGGCTTGTGTGTGTATAACTGTTTGTTTCCTGCAGTGTGTGTATGCAGATGTGTGTATCTGTGTGAATGTGTGTGAATATTCGCATAGGTATATGGTAGTGGACTTGTTTGTGAGAGTGGATGCTTCTGTGTGTGTATGTCTGTGTCTGGAGCAGCTTAGTACACTGACAATGACCATTTCTGATCCTAATTAGCTGTGTGTGTTTGTGTGTGTGGTGCGGATGTCACCTAACAGCTGAGGCACGTATGTGTTTGGGATCTGCTGTTTTGATACTACTCGCATCATTAGATATGTACAGTGCCTTCAGAAAGTATTCGTACTCCTTGGCTTATTCCACATTTTGTTGTGTTACAGCCTGAATTCTAAATGGATTAAATATGTTTTTTTTCTCAACCATCTACACACAATACCCCATAATGACAAAGTGAAAACATGTTTTTAGATTTTTTTGCAAATTTATTGAAAATGAAATACAGAAATATCTAATTTACATAAATATTCACACCCCTGAGTCAATACTTTGTAGAAGCACAATTGGCGGCGATTACAGCTTTGACTCGTTTTGGGTATGTCTGTATCAGCTTTGGGAGAGTCAAATGTTTGTCTCATCAGACCATATCATCTTTTGTCTTATGATCTCAGAGTCTTTCACGTGCCTTTTTGCAAACTCCAGGCAGGCTGTCATGTGCCTTTTTCTCAGGAGTGGCTTCCGTCTGGCCACTCTCCCATAAAGCCCAGATTGGTGAAGTGCTGTAGAGACTGTTGTCCTTCTGGCAGGTTCTCCCATCTCAGCCAA